GGATGAGTTTTATGCTTTGTGAATTATATCTCAATAAAAACAAAACCCACCTGAACAGAAAAATTATAAAGATATTAGTAATTTAAACTCCAGGAGGGCCAAAGAGTGAAGCTTGTGGGCTATCATACAGAGACAATGCCACGTACACTGTGGGAGATTGGACTGCCACAGCCTGTAGCATACATCTGGTTCACTTCCAATACTCAGCATAGAGATGATGTCCCTAGGTCCCTGGCCCTTACTTCCCCTAAAACATGACATCTCCCCTCCATCCTGACATTTCCCTTTCATATGGTACCACCTTTAACACTTTCTTCTGGACGAGACCACTCAAAGGCAGCGACTTCTGGTTTTCTGAGCCAAGGTCACTTACCTATACAAGGGCTGAAAGGGAGACTGTGAAAGGTAGTTCCCAATCTTCTTGGGCAGGCAAAATTGTTAAAGTGAGAAATTCCTTAATTTTTTTAAGGTTCTGAGCAGTCAAAGGTCACAACAAATATCTTCTAGAGGCCCCTTTCCACTTAACGGTTGCATAATTTCTACTTTAATGGTGCTTTGCTTATTTGGAATAACTTGGGGGAAAGTGTATATAATTAATGACAAGATGAGTTGATATAAGCATACTGGAGGATGAAATGGAGAAATAAACAATGACAAACCCAGAGCTATTCATTTTTTCCCTCCTTTATTCAGCAAATAGGTATACATTTAAGAACTATGTATGGGTATGGGGCAGAGTGAAACACCAACAAGACCCTAGCTCTGGAGCTCTTCAGGCCACATGAGCAGAGAAGGAAACACAGCTTATGACAAGTAAAGTAATCAGATATGGACAGGAATGCTGAGGGAAAACTATTAGAGTAAAACCCAAACCCAAAACAGCCTTCCCCTTGCATTAACAAAGCATTCTCCCTTGTCCCAGGGAGAGCAAGGACTGTTTTATGGTCTGTTATAAAATGCACTCCCCTCCTCCCCCTTGGTCAACTTTATGAGGCAGTAAATCTATCCTGGCAGAAGCTCTCTCCATCAACCCGGTCACCTTTGCTCAGTGCTCCTCACGAATCACCAGGCCTCAGTGAGAGCTACAGTAAGGAAAGAGACAAGGCTATGAGGTGAGTACTTTTGCCCAAGCAGGTGGTGCTTTGGGAAAGGAATTTCTTTCTCATAGGATCTCAAGGGGGAAAAAGAGGTCCCTTTCTTTTTGTAGATTTTCCTCTGCCCTGGCTTCTTAAGTGATCTATACGCCTTCACTTTTCTTCTGGACCTGATGTTTTCTTCATTTTCCATAGTCGGTGAGGTATGAAGATGAGATCTTATGTGGAGAGAGGGAGGGAGGGAGAGAGAGAGAGAGAGAGAGAGAGAGAGAGAGAGAGAGAGAGAGAATACAGATGGGGAGGGTCTAGAGTAGGATGTCCCTCTCTCACTGGGAGAACCATGCAAGAACAGATGTGATCCTCTGGAATCTAGAAGGTGGCATGGATTCATGGGAAGCTAAATGTGCCCCAGCTTTGAGCAGAAAGGATTTCTAAGTAGGGAGAATTCTACCTTTAGTAATCCCCACTCTGACCCTCTGCCTGGATGACAATAGCTCTTATGGCAAGAAAATGACTGTGATTGTCCCCAGAGTGTTTCTGAATTTGCTGAACTTCTGTGTTGAGTCTGCTCCCTCAGAAAGACTAAGAAGCAGTAAGAAGAAGTACCTGCTTCTGGTCTATAGAAGCTGGGAAAAACCATCTCCCTATAGAGGGAAACAATGCTGGGAAAAGGATGATAATTGATGACCAACTGTTTGCTGTGATATGGAATTATGGTCTCTGTGTGTATTTAGAGTGGGTCTCTCCAACTTCTTTCAGTGCCTGAAATTCCACCATTGGAGATTTACCCTCTGGGTCTTTAGGCTCTGAGGTCTGGAAGATACTTTGGAGAGATTATGCAAATATTATTGGAAGCTCTGATTCTTAGTTTGCCTTAGTTCCACCACTAATCATGGTGGGACAAAATTATTTAATATCCATCTATAAAATGGGAATGGTGATGCCTGCCTTATGAACTTTGATGTAGGTGTTTTATGGGACTATAACAATAAGAATATAGCATGCTCTGTACTTTATGGGGAATTGAGCAAATCTTTTGAATAATTTACACTCAAAGAGAGACACCTGACAGGTTTAGGTTATTAGAATAAAATAGTTAAAAAGCCTCAATTCCCAGGCCCAGTTTCTCCAAGAGCTGAGGAATCTCTGCAAATACCTCTTGGCCAATTATCTGTTGAATCTTGCTCTTCACCCCCATTTCAGTTTAAAGAACATCATTTCTTGGGTAACTACAGATTATTATAAAGACTGCCTCAATGACAAATTGAATTTAAACGAAAATAGTTGTAGAATGCTCTTGGCATTGGGCTAGAGAGGAGCATAGTTTCAGGAAAATGTAACGTGAAAAGAGAAGTAAACACAAAAGCAAAAGACAGAAAATTCTTTATACACACAGAAAAAAGAGGCTGGATAGAGGAGGTGTCATGAGGACTTTGGTCCCAAGGTTAGAGGTTTATATCTTATCTAGAGAACAATTAATACTTGAATATAGAAGATACTAGAAGATATATCGGGGAAATGAACCAAAGATGTTGGAAAAGTGTTCTGCCTCAACTGGTAACTGGTAAGAGAGGAGCCCAAAAGATCCCTAGATTGTTACTTTTTTTTTAAAAAAAGAAATTTTGGTTCTGTTCCACAAGCTATTAATTATTTGAAGTGCAACCCATTCGGAAAAAGTTGGGACTAAGGTTGAGGATGGATGCTTTTGTGTCTGAAGAGGTTCATTTTGGTTGACTCTTTTGGATGCTCACATGAGACACCAACAGGCCATTGAATATGTGAATCTATATCTTTGGTCTGCGAATATAGGCTGGATTGTTGTCAGATATATAAAGTCACATGAGTTATGGGGATTGCTCAAGGACAACAGGCAGTTTTGAAAGGGGACTTCTGTGAAAATATGAAGAATATCCACATGTAACAGAAGAATCAAAGAAAATTGAAAAGAAATCTGAACTAGAGGTAGAAAACCAGGACTGAATGATATCAGGAATATGGATAGGTAGAGAGTTTCGAGGAGGAGGGAGTGGTTGATAGTGCTAGATGATTAAGACAGAGCCTGTTGTATTTAGGGGTTAAGTCCCTGGTGGCTTTGGCAAGAGCAGTTTCAGTGGAATGCAGGAAATACACTCATTCCAGTAATGCATGAGGAAGCTAATCAAGACAGTGTATAATTATCTTTTTAGAAGCTTAGCTACAAAAGTAAAATAAAGTTAAAATGGTACTTAGAGAATAACAGAATAACGCAGAATCATCAACAGTTTAGGATAACTAAGAAGACATCTATGAGGGGTAAAATCAAGTTTGGAGGCAGAGGTTGACCATGTAAGAAAGAGGAGGGATAATTGGTGAAACAAAATTTTGGAGAAATTCAGGGGCTAGGAAAGCTGGAGGATGGGTACAAGGATTATGCTTGGGCAAGAACAGGAAAAACTCGGCTATGGAGAATAGAAGGGAAAACATACAAATTTTGCCTATAGTCATGCAGAGTTTTTTTGTACCAAAGCTTGAGCTGAGAACATGGAGATAAGATAGCGTCTGTAAAACAGTTACTTTCTCTTCCAAATTAGAGATGATATTGGATAAGAATAAGAGTGTAGTTGAATGAAATTGGTCTTGGAAAAAAGGATCAATTTTTAAAATTGTTCCTCTGAAAATGAGAGGAGCTGGTAAGATTGTCAGTGGGTCTGCAGGCCCAGTTATTTGGGGGGGGGATTAAAAGTCCTACTGGTATCTATGTTGAGCCAGTGCATCAGCCCAGAGGCAGAGCTTTTTGGCTGGATGGTTTCGTGATGTAGATTCAGTTAGCAAATGAGGGGATAAGAAAGATGAGAGCAAATGGCCAGTTGAATAGTGATATTGAGGCCTAGCTCCAGTGGTCAGAAAGGGCTCAGAGAACAGATGGAAGTGGAAAAAGAACAGAGGCCTCTATGGGATCAAAGAGTAGAGAAAACTGAAGAAAGTCAGTGGGAGAGCAAAATACATAAGCTTGTGACCAGTAAATGGAAAGCGGTGAAGGATTTAAAAAGTGAAACAATTCTGAGGGGTGGAAATTCTAGGGCACAGTCAAGATGTCTGGTTGATGGAAGCCAAGCAAGCATGAAGGTCCTTGAAGGTAGAGACTGTCCTGAAATGTGAGGCACATGACAGGGATTCACGTGGGAGTGCATGCACAATCTGATCTCACCTCTGTAGCTGAAGAAACAGGCCCCAGCAGGGGAGCAGCCCACCTGTTAGTAAAAGAACAGAGCAAGCATGCATGCCCTCTGATTCCCAGTTTTCCATCTTCACCCTGGGATCAATGCATGGGCTTCAGGATATCTGAGATCAATAAATTCGTATGAGTTTGTGTGCCATGCGCATGCAAGTGAGCATTCTGTTGGAGATTGGGATCAGGTTTATTTTTGTCACCAGATTCTTAAAATGACCAGTAACTTCTAAGTAGTTAAACATCTCAGCATTATGCCATAGGGATCGGAAGAAGATGTGGATTTGGCTTTTGCTATTTTCTTTCTCCCTAAGTGTACCCTCTATTGTACTATACAGAGTGCGCATGAAGGTCAAAGTGTCATCTGAAAGGGCTTTGTGAGCCATCACAACCCCTCATCCCTCTATCTTCAGGATCTGGCTCCTCTCTTTCTCTCTCTCTAGTTCTTTATGTCTGATATATACTTTTCCCCAAACAATCTCAATATCTACACAGACAAAAAGGTAAGAGCCCGAAAAGTGCACAGAGTTAGGTGGAGACACCATGAAGAGCAGAAACAAACCTTCTCTAAGTACATAGAGTTGAATGCTGGTAATCAAGGTTGTCTCGCAGACAAGTTCACATTCTAATCACAAGCATCCATCTGTTCTTTCAGGGCTCTGCATTTTGCTTTAATCCAGTTATCTGTGTCCATCTAGATGGCAAGGAAGCTCAGTACATTGGAAGTCCTTCTGTTCGTCTTCTTCATAATTGTATTGGCTGTAGATATCCTCTTGCTGCTGCTTGTGTTGGAGAAACCTTCAGGTAAAGGAAATCTGGTGGCTCCTGGGTTGGAAAGAGGGGTAAAGGAGGTCACCCTTGGGTACCAAAGAGATCCTTCTATTCCTTCTCCATATTGCAGCATTCGAAACACTTATGCACAATTAATTGAAGTCAATCTCCAAGATAAGTCTTTTTTTTTTTTTGCTACTAAACCTTAAATGTTAATGGTTTTCAGTATCTTCCAAGCCCCATTTGCTATAATTAAAGGATGAAAAATTAGACTTTTAATTGCCTGCCCTTCATCCCAGAGGCATGAGGAATTAGAAACTTCAAGGAGAAAGCAGGCCAAGGCAACATTGCCCAGATCCATCCCATTATGGAAAAGGACTTTAGATCACCAGCAGGCTGAGGGTGATTATGGTGGCCTAGGTACAACATTCGCAGTTAGCCTGTAGCCCATAGAATGATGAAATACCTATGATTTCCTCAGAGGTGCCTTTGAAACTGTTCTTGCCCCCCATCACACACACACACACACACACACACATACACACACACACACAATCAAATTGTCTTTTTCCCTCCATGCATATAATTAATATAATCTAAATAATAAAATGGCATGTGTCATACAAAAATCTATTATCAATAAAAACTGAATTTGGAAGTTTGTTCTGCGTGATAAAACTCTTTACAGATGTGGATTAAACATAGAGTAAAAAGCAGCTGTGCCAAGAGTAGCCCCAGACGTGACCTGCTCAGTCTTTCCAATATTCTCCACAGTAAGCATTAGGGCACTTTCTAGGAAAAATTACCACTTTCCAAGATGATTTGAAACTCACTGATAGAAACCACTTTGATGCTATTCTTACTTCTTCTGTGTGTGTGTGTATATGTGTGTATGTGTGTGTGTGTGTGTGTGTTAGGGGGTAACAATTCCAATAAGATTTCTATCCAGTGGATGTGAATAAGTAGTTTCTTCATACTAAATATAAAACTAAATATCTACACCTGTATTGATACCAAGACACACTTACACACTTCGATTTATCCAGAGTAGTTCAGCTGTTAACTGTTTTACATATAGGCCTTTTTTTCTAGCTACTTTTTTTTTTTTTTAAAAAAAGGAGAGAGAGAGAGAGAGAGAGAGAGAGAGAGAGAGAGAGAGAGAGAATTTTTAAATATTTATTTATTTGTTTGTTTTGTTTTTAGTGGACACAATATCTTTATTTTATTTTTTTATGTGGTGCTGAGGATCAAACCCAGCACCCCGTGCAGGCCAGGCGAGCGCACCACTGTTTGAGCCACATCCCCAGCCCATCTAGCTATTTTTTAAAGATAGGTTTCCATGGAATGAAAAACAAATTCTTCTTCTTCTTTTCCTCCTCTTCCTCCTCTTCCTCCTCCTCCTCCTCCTCCTCCTCCTCCTTCTTCTTCTTCTGGAAGAACATGTAACATGCAATCTACATTCTTAGCAAAATTTTTAAGCCTACAAAAGAGTATATTGTATCTGATCTCTAAAACTTACCCTGTACAACTGAAATGTTACACATATTTATTAATGATTTCCTTTCCCCTAATGTGTGTCAAACACCATTCTATTTTTTGCTTCTATGAGTTTGACTATTTTAAATATTTCACATAGGATAATGCAGTGTTTGTCCTTCTGTGATTGGCTTATTTCCTTAGATAAAGTCCTCAAGTTTCATCCATGTTTTTGCATATTACAGGATTTCCTTTTAAGGCTCCATAATATTCTGCCACATTTTCTTTATCCATTTGTACTTCAGTGGACACTTAGGTTGTTTACAAATGATGGCTATTGTGAATAATGTTGCAATAACATGGAAGTGCTGATATATCTCCAAATTCCTGACTCAAGTCTTTTGGATAAAGACTCAGGAGTGGGAATAAAGATTCCTATGGTAGCTCTGGTTTTTAATTTTCTAGGAATCTCCATCCTGTTTTTCATAGCAACTGCACCTCCTTGCATTCCCAGCAATGGTGGACCAGGGTTTCCGTATCTTCACATGCTAACCAAAAGTTGTTGTCCTCTGTTCTGTTTTGATAATCACCATCTTAAGATGTGTGAGGTAATATCTCCTTACAGTTTAATTTGCATTTCCCAGATGATTAGGAATGTTGAGCATCTTTTCACATGCCTGTTGGCCATTTATTTGTATGTATTCTTTGGATAAATATCTATTCAAGTTTCTAAGCCATTCGTGCCATTGAGTTTTTTGAATTTCTTTTGTCACTTGGAAATTGACTTCTCATTGGATATATGGCTTATTAATACGTTCTCCCATGGCCTAGGTGACCTCTTCACTGTGCTGATTAGTGCTTTAGTTTGGCTCAGTCCCGGTTGACTATTTTTGCTTTTGTTGCTTATATTCTTGGTCATACCAGTGTTAAGCAACTTTCCACATGTTTTATTCAAGAAATTTTATGGTTCTAGGCCTTATGTTAAGTCTTTAATCCATTTTTAAAACAGACATGCACACACTAGTGCATGAGTCAATAGGGATAGTGGAAAGGTAGTTGACACCCATAGTAACTTCAGTGGCCTGAAGGTTCAGGGGAGATCCAGTGTTCTGACTGGTTCATGGAGCCCACAGACCCAGTCCTATTTAGCTTGTTGTTGTGTAGGAGAAGGGTAAACAAAGTGGATAAAGCCTTGAATAAGAATAATTTTGAGCAGTTGTATATATTTCTTAAGGGGCCAATAATATCTTCCCTATCTACATCAAAGTTTATTAGAAGTGAGTTGAACAAAACCAAATGTAATCCAACAAACAAATGATAAAAACAAAGGTATAACACATTGGTATATTCATATGTTAAAATAAGAGGTTGGATTTCTACCTCATAGTATACATGAAAGTTAACTAAATATGGATCAAAGACATAAATGTAAGACCCCAATACTACAAATCTTTAAACAGAAAACATGGGTCTGAATGTTTGTGTCCTTGGATTAGGCAACAGTTTGATAGATGATATATAAAGCACAGTAACAAAACAAAAAATAGGCAAACTGGACTTCATGATACATGAAAACTTTTATGCTTCAAATGACAGTATAAAGAAAATGAAAAAATAACCTATAGAATCAGATGCATTTGCAAATGAAATATCTGATAAGGGCTTAACATCAGGGATACACAAAAAATGCTACAATTCAAAGCAAAAAGAAAAAAATGTTAAATGAACAAAAGATTATATATATATATATATATATATATATATATATATATATATAACAAAAGATCTACAAATGACCATAAAGAATATTTGACACTATCAGTTATTTGGAAAACATAAGTTAAAACATGATATTTTGTTTCACATAAACCAGGATGACTATAATAAAAAATTAATAACAATTACTTTTAAGGTCAAAGAGAAGTAGTAATCCTCACACATCACTCTTAGGAGCCACTTTGAATAGTTTGGAAGTTGCTCAAAAAGTTAAGGATAGAGTTAAACATAAGATTTACAAATTTCACTTTTAGGTATGTAACCAAGAGAATTGGAAATATGTTCACATACTTTTGCATGAACATTTATAGCAGAAATATATATAGTAAAAAAGTGGAAACAACAACAGAAATATACATCAATTGATGTGTAGAGAAACAAAATGAAATGTGTTATATCTACTTAGTGGAATATGATTTATCTGTGAAAATAAATAAAACACTGCTATTTGCTATAACATGGAAGAACTCTGAACATCACACCAAATGAAAGAAGCCAGGAACAAAAGGCCCTTGCTTTATGATTTCCTTTGTGTGAAATTCTCAGAATAGGCAAATCCACAGAGAGAGAATTGGCAAGTGTTTTCCAGGGACTGGGAGAAAAGGGGCATGAAAAGCCATCACTCATGGGGTGACTCCTCCAGGACAATGAACATGTTCTATAATTAGAGCTTTTTGGTGACAGGACTTTGTAAAATATTAAAAGACTATTGAATTGTATGCTTTAAAACAGATAATTTCATGGTACATGATTATATATCTAACAATCAAACAAACCAACAACAACAATAGAAAAAAAAAGAAGACAAGTATCTTTAGCACTTGGAGAATTGTTAAACATTGTATGTAAGTAAGGATACCAGCTACCAATGACGTTATTGACGGAAGAATTGACTGAAAGTTTGTAATTATGCTACCTTTCTTGGAGCTGTGAGCAGACTACAAATATTCAACTTTTGTCCTTTAATTTCTGTGCAGATTCTTCATTTATTCCAGTGTGCCCAGCGATCTCTCAGTCAGAAAGGATAGACTGCGCACCTGGACAGGCGGTGACAGAGGTCAGAGAAATGAGGTCCCTGCTGGGACCATTGGGTTTTATTTAAGAGATGTTAAGTGTGGAGAGAGTGGTGTGAAGTGGCTTATGGGTCTGCAATTTGCTTGGAGTTTTTTCTTTTTTTGCCTTAATGATATCTACAGGAACACTGAGGAAGTGAGGAAAGCAGAATAGAGAAAAGAGAAGTATTGGAGGAGATAAAATCCAAAACCCAAAGTGGAGGGAATTTACCAATGTTAAGTGCTTTGTAAGTGTGGATCCAATGTGCACTCTTGTGTAAAGGTTAAATGTTGGTGGGCTAGCCTACATACTCCTTGAGAATGAGACTATCAACCACATATGGACCATGGAGCCACTTCTAGAACTAGGTGAACTGTTTTAACAAGAGCCTTCTGGCACGGTGACACTGGCAACAGAGGTGCCAGTGAACGTGTGTGGCTTCCACGACAATATCAACTCTGAACCCTGCTTAGTTGAAACGTGACTTTGTCAAGAAGGCCTTATATATTTAGATTTTATTTCTTTACTCTGTTTTCTACTTTCTATATCCCAGAACATCCTATAACATTATTAATTAAAACCACACTGAATTGGGGGGTTAAATTAAATAATATTGACAGCTTAATGGTTTTGATTCTTCCTATTCTAAAAACAGAACATCTCTCCATTTCGATTATATATCTAATATATCTATATATATTAATAAATATATGAATATGGACATATACATATGTATGCCTTAATTGAATTTTATGTTTCTCTAAATTTTCTTTCATATGAATAATGAACTTTTCCTTATGTATTTCATATTTTTAGCTTCTAGTGTAAATATAATTTATTATATTTTCTAACCAAAGCTTCTTTTATTATAATACTTCCTTTCTTACTAATAGTTATTTTATATGTATTACTTTAAATTTAAATATTTTAAAATCATTTTTACATATTTCTATTATATTTATTATATAATTGACCAACTGAATATTTTCATTGTTTCTAGAAAAAGAATTTTGTAGTTCTTTATTAGTTTTACAATTATATCCCAGAAAAATAATGATTTTGCTTTGTATTAATGCTTATGTCTCATCATTCACATGTCCAGCTGCACATTCCAGTTCTTCCAGAGTAATATAAATTAAGTGCTGATGGTTAGCAACCTTTATTTATGCTTGAATTCAATGGAAATTTTTTACATGTAAAATATAGAGCATGATGTTGGCTGCTAACTTAGGATAATTGCTTTATTTTTATTAGGAGTCCTATTTTTAATAGTTCCTTTAGGAAGTGAAAAATGGATTTTCTTTCCAGTAATCTAATATTTAAATTTTCAAACATACAGAAAAAATGGAAAGAATTTCCCACTTACATGCCACCCTTAATATTTTGCTTTGTTTTTACATCTATATTAGTATGTCTTATACTTTATCCATCAATGATCTTATTTTTAATGCATTTGAAAGTAAATTCCAGAAGCCATTTCATGTTTCTATAAACTTCTCATCACACATAGCTTTAGCAAGAGCTGAATGTTTGATTATGATTTTTGTCTTTAGATATTAAATTTATATACAATGCAAATATGAAGAGTTTTACAGTTCACACACTTTTAGGACAACTTGTTGAGACATTGACTACACCCCTGTAACCCAAATATCTGTCAAGATGTGGGATGTTACCATCACCACAGAAAGTTCTCTCGTGATATTCCTCAGTAGTTACTTCCCCTTGTATTCCCTCCATCTCCACTATAGCTTTCTTTGTTTTGCTTGTTGCATAACTTTATATAAATGAAATCATACTTTGTAAAATCTCACCCAGCATGGTTTTCAGATTTGTCAATAGTGTTACATATACAGTATTAGATGATTTGTGTTGTTGAGGGATGTTCCGTTGAATGAGTATACCACAGTCTTTTAACCATTCTCCTACTGACATATACTAGAATGTTCATAGTAGCACTATTAATATTTTTATGGAAAACTATATACTTCATCTGTTTTCAAATTTATACATTTGGAGTTGAACTAAATAAATCTTAAGCTCAACATTATTTTTATGAGATTCATCCTGTTGTTGGGAGAAGTTAAAGATCTTTCATGCCTTTTGCTATATGGTATTCCATTGTGTGAATACACCCCAATATTTTTATACTGTCTACTTTTGATAGGCATTTGTGAGTTTGCATATGAGAAACATTTTAATAGTGCTGCAATGAACAGTATATTATGTGTCTTTTGGTGAATATGTGGAAGGATTTCATTGGTTCTATACCAAGAAATGGAATTTTCCATTCATAGGGATATGTACATGTTTAGGTTTAGTTGATATTGCAAAATAGCTTTTCAAAATATCTATGACAATTTACATTTCCTGTAACAGTATGTAAGAGTTCAGTTACTATGTGTCCTAACAACTTTTGATGTTTTTCTCCTTCATCAATGTAACAATTCTGTAGTTATAATTTTCACATGCTTCATGATTAATGAAATTAATCATCTTTTCTTAGGCTTATTGAATAGTTGGATGATCATATTGTAATGTTTCAGTTTTTTTGTCCAGGTTTTTTTAAATGGGTATTCCTCTTTTGCTTATGCTCTGTAGTTATTTATGTACTCTGGACACAAATCTTTTGTTTTTAAAGACATATACCTTATTTTATTCTGTGGGTTGTCTTTTAACTCTCTTAATGGTCAATATTTGATGAAAAAATTGTTCCTAATTTTAATGTAGTCCATTTTGTCAATTTTTCAGTGGCCAGTACATTTCATATTCTATTTAAAAATTCCTTCCTGCTTCAAAGAGAGTCAGGAAAACATCTTTCTGTTTTTCCTCTAAGAACATTATTACTGTATTTTTTTTTCAAATTTAGATCTTTAATCAATCTAGCATTTGTGTATGTGTTTGTGCATGTGTTTGTGTATGTGTGTGTGTGTATGTGTATGTCAGATAAGAGTCCAGAAAAAATGTCTTCTTGAATTCTTTTTAAATATATATTTTTATTTATTAGTTATAGATGGATACAATATCTTTATTTTGTTTACTTATTTTTTACGTGGTGCTGAAGATGGAACCCAGTTCCTCACATGTGCGAGGCAAGCACTCTACCCCTGAGCCACAACCCCAGCCCTCTTGAATTTTTAACAGATCCATCACCAATTACTAAAATGACTGCCATACCTTCTCTTTTTCATTGCAGTAACATCTTTCTGTAAATTATATGTTTATATATGTAGACTTGCTTCTGGAATTCACTTTGCTAATTTGTTGATTGTGCTTTGGCCAATACAACACTGCCTTAGTTATTAAAACTTTGTAATAGCTCTTGATGTGTGGTCTTGTAAGTCCTCCAAATCATTTCTATTTTTCTTCAATAGTGCCTGTCCCATTCTCTGGCCTTTAAACTTCTGAATACATTTTAGGATCAGCTTGTCAATTTTATCACAAAATAATTTGATTGTGATTCCATATATGGAAGAATTGCAATTTTTACCAAAGTGAATAGTAAAATCCAAAAATTTGATATAGCTTTCAATTTATTCAGAGTGTTAATTTTGAAATTTTTGGTTTAGGCATCTTTCACTTTGCTTTCATATTTTTTAACAATTTAATATTTAATTCTATTAAATGCTATTTTTAAATTAAAATTTCTGTTTATCTGTAGTTTATGTTTAGATTTTAAATTAATTTTTGAATATTCATCTTGAAACCTGAAATCTTAAATTTGCTTATGAATTATCTTTATTGGTATGTCATATCTTTTAAATGATTTTTGAAATAGTACTGTTACCTGTGAATGATAACAATTTCAGTGTTTTTGCCAATGTATTTCCCTTTTCTTCCTTATCTCATAGCACCAAATTTTGTTTTTCTTTCTCAAACTCTAATATGATTTGAGATAGTATCTAAAATTCACCATTGTGGGTTTTAAAAAATGAAACTTCCACTAAAAAAAGAAAGAAACTTCCAGAGGCTGTTATCTAAACATAAGAAATATCATTGTAGTAAAATACTAAATACAAAAGTGGGCTTTCCTGATTCTAGAAGTTGGCAATCCATCATTCACATAGCTTCAGGATCTATCAGAGACTCTCCTGAAGAAATGCTTGCATCAGAAAGAAGTTGGACTCTATAATTCCAAGTCAATTTCCAATTGTTAAATTCTATTAGTCAATGATGTCTGATTGAAATATAACATGACATCTATTTGGAAGACAGCTGGAGAATATTCTTTAGGAATATTTAGTGTTAAGGCAATAATAGAGAGACAAGGAGACTTTTGAGCTAACACAGTAGGGCAGGCATGAATTTATGACAGTCTCTTGATGCCGTGTCCATGGAAATTAAAAAGAAAGAGAGTGATATAAATGGGGAAGAAATATGGAGTTTGAAGGATTGGAAAATAATTGTCCCCATGGTTTGACCTTTGGTGTCTGGGACTGACAGAAGGATATTAGAGCAGATTATACACAAAATATTATCTGAGTGTTCATTGCTTTTTATGAGGTTTATAGACCTTGAAACAATTTATGGCAATGAAACTAACCTTTTGTACTTTACAGACTTCAGTTTCTGGGTGGCTAAGGTGTTCCGTCTGTCTCAGTCTTAGGGAAATCAGTTATCCAACCCTAAATTTTGTCTCCATTGATATCCTCAGCCATTTTTTAACTGAAAAGAATGAGGCAAAAATACCAGTGTTATGTATGGAGAATTAATAAGTACTTAAAATGATTTTATGGTTATAACATGATTGCTTTTTCATAATAGTGTGAAGTGTTGATTGAAATTATATTTGTATCATGGCCTTTCAGAGCAATTCAGATGTTGGCATTTAAAATATGTGTAGGTTTACCTTTTTCAAATGAATAGTGTTGTGACATACTCTTTTTTTTAAAAAAAATAAAACAATCTAAACTGAATACATTCCTTTACTGAGAAAGATTCAGACATTATATTTATGGACAGAATACAGCAGGGAAGTTCTTAAAATGTTTTCTGTCTCCAAGTCCTCTTCCTGGAATCAGGCTGATAGTTTAGTGTGCTAGCTTCCCTTGATCTTCCTGTACTCACTGTTCTTACTCAGTGTTCTTGGTACAATATATTTGTGGGTTTTCCATCTATCATGCATTTCTGCTTTCGCTGCTTGGAGTACCACTCTGCTCTTCGCCTGTCTAACTCCTTCTGGTGTTGTAGGACTGGATTTACCTTTGTACTATTGATAAGCCATTCCCACTCTACTCTCAGCCTACTGCTCAGCTCCTAAGCAAACCCTATTGGAACACTCAACTCATTGCTATTTTTAATTGTCTTGAGTTACCACTAGACTGTAAGTTTTCTGGAGGCACAAACTTTTAATCTTATTTATCTGGTAAGAGTTTCTTGTCTAGGAGAAATCAACATTGGATAACTGTATAAATGAATAAAGAATAAATGAGTGAATGAATGTAATTATGATGTATATTACATTCTCTTTAGAACAAGAAGTTTTATAAATGAATAGGCAAATATTACTCTCATTCTTTCATTTTTTATAATGCCAACTCTTTGTTATTTTTACAGGATACTTGCAGATGGCAATATAAATGCTGCTGGAATTCTGCAGCAGAGACCAATGTCCCTAGGTGCTTCTTCCCCAGAAACTGGGGCTATGAAGTCATCAGGGCCCAAACAAATACAAGCACAGGTAAGCACTGTCTTGATGTGGCCCCAGGGAACAACTCTTTATGGTCCAGATAACTGCAAAACATAAAAGCTAAAAGCCTCTTTCTTGCTCTTCATTTCCAACCCTAGGGTTTACTGCCCAGTTGAGAAAGTTGTCATCCCCATCTCTGTTTGGAGATGATGTCACCAATGCCCTCCTCACAGCTGAATTTCAGACAGCCAATCGTTTTCGTTTTAAGGTTGGTTTGGGAGTTACCATTGAACACATTCCTGAAGAAAGCAGTGCTCCACCCTGGGTCCACTCCCTTCCTCATCACACACCATGCAAGGTGCAGAGACAGAAGGCACCTCCATTCCTCTCTGTAGGAATCTTTGCATGGGGTGTGAAGGCTAAATTTTATTTGACAGGGCATGTGTGATTGGGTGATTTCTTCTCACAAACCAGGAACCATAGAGTCAGGAGTTAGAGGCTATTCTCATGGAGAGCTGTTTGAGAGGCAATATCTTCTGTAGTTCTATAAGGAAGTAGTCTTACCTTGAACTGTCCTTTCTGTTTTTCTTCTGACAGATAACTGATTTCAATGCAATCCGCTATGAAGTCCCTTCTGAAAACATCAATTTACTTAATGACACTGCTGATATCTCCAGTTTGAGCTACCATGTAGAAGTCACTGATAATCCCTTTAGCATCAGAATAATGAGGAAGAACAACAAAAGAGTCCTGTGAGCTTTTTTGATACTCTTTGTACATCTTTGAATATAGTGACCCAATATCAATTATTTTGACATAGTAAAATGACTATGGCCTAAAAATATGCTTGAACTTCAAAAATCTGCAGAATTACTTACTATAACTAATTAAGAATGGAAATCTATCATGACCATAGAGCAAAGAATACTAAAATACAATGTATTAGTGTGCTGAGTTACATGATATATAAATATATTATATATATGCTTATGGTTTACTTGTATTATGAAATAGGGAATTTTATTATTTTGGATCATTATTCATACTGGAACTTGAACTTCATTGTTTATCATTCCAAAGTATTATTTCCTGTGAATCTCATTATCAAGCACCTACCAGCATTTTGAGGATACATCACAGCTATACTGGAGAAAATTTAAGAACCAATGTCAGTAAAACTTGTATTCAAATCCTTGCACTGGAAAACCAGTCAGCCATCTGACAGAAGGCAGAAAATCTTGTCAGCATCAGTTTCTTTGTCCACAAAGAAGATCAAAATATCCACTTTTGCTAAGGGCCATGAGATAATATTTATAAAGTATCCAGAGTAGCGTCTGTCATGCAGCAGGTACACAGAAATGTAAGGTCACATTTCTTCTCTTTGCCCAATCGTCCAACCTGAGCCCTGGTGTCCCATCACTATGTTCCATTAGATTCAAAGAAATAGAAATGCTCTAGAAAGGTCTTCAAGGTAGCATGGGAGTTGATAATGCCTAAAGCAACTGATCTCTGAGTGTATGTGGAAAAGAACAAATAGCTTCTTGGCAGAGAGAAGCGAGAGCTTCAGCGAATCTCACTTTCCCTGTATGGCCTAGGTTGGACACAAGCATTGGGCCCCTCCAGTTTGCCCAGCAGTTCCTACAGCTGTCTTTCCGACTTCCCAGCACCAATGTGTATGGGCTGGGGGAGCACGTGCATCAACAGTACCGCCACGACATGGCCTGGAAGACCTGGCCCATCTTTACCCGGGATGCCGCCCCCACTGCGGTGAGGTCCCCTTCTGCCTGGTCATTGCTTACAGTCAGGGATGTTCTCCTTCCTCCCCTAAAAATGGTCTACAGAGACAGCTATATCTTGTCTTGTTCAGTTTAGACGTGTTTGTGTTGAGGAATACCTGTTCGTGAGGTTATAAAGACACTATTAGAAATTAGTGCAATTAAAAATTTTACTTTTAATGGAAAATGCAATTTAATGATTGTATTAGAGCTCACCCTATAAGGAAAAATACCTTTGTAACTGCCTAGCTTTAAAAATTTTAATATCTAAAGAAGAACTTCAGCAGAGGCCATTCTTAGTAGGACCTTGTGAATAAAAAAAAGTCTCTTTTGACAGCCTCTGTGTTGCTAGTGAAGGTGTGTTCCAGGCATAGTAGTGTTGGCATCACCTTGCTGGTTGTTTGAAATGTAGAGCTTCAGGCCATAAAGACCAGGAGACCCATTGAATCTGAATTGGCATGTTAATAAGATCCCTGGAGAATCACACCCATAGTGAAGTGGGAGAAGGGTCATTCTAGAATAGGGTTTCTCAAGTTACCTGGAGTGAAGGTTTACTTTCTTTTTCTTTTGTTGTTGTTAAACCAACATGGGCAACACATTTGTAAAAACCCAATTTAAAGTATTTTTGGAAAATGAAATAAAAATATCCAAAAATATAAAAATTATAAGCCTGAATTTTAAATTGAACAGACATAAAATTACTCTTTTTAGGGGGCAGGGGGGCCAGGGATTGAACCCAGGGGCACTCAACCACTGAGCCACACCCCCAGCCCTATTTTGTGTTGTATTTAGAGACAAGGTTTCAATGAATTGCTTAGAGCCTTGCTTTGGCTTTGAACTCAAGATCCTCCTGTCTCAGCCTCCCAAGGTGCTGCGATTACAGGCATGTGAAACTGGGCCTGGCCATAAAATTACTCTTAAATCTCTGTAAAAGACTTTCTAAACACTCATTTTTTTTTTTTTTTTTGTATTTATCTTGATAAGGTGCCAGAGCTTGGACAATACTGAGAAGCAGTGGTGAATGGAGGTTGTGTTGAAGCCTCCCTTGTGCTGATGGTGGCTCTAAGGTCGAGCAAGAGCTGCATGCAGATGGAATTTTGGCGTAGGGTGATTGGGCTGAATGTTTTGCAGTTTATATTTGCAAGAGATGAACACAGCAAGTAGCTCATTAACTTGCAGACCATCTGCCCATATGTGATGCAATGGAAGCAGTACTCTTACTGAACTGAACAGAGAGGAAAAATCAGTGGTTGACACTTGACACATCCACTCAAATGTTTGGTCAAATACACTGATACCCTGAGCATTGCGCCAAATTTGACTTTCTACAGCTGCAGTGTTTTTTTTTTTTTGTACATGGGATTGAACCCAAGGGTGCTTAGCCAATGAGCCACATTCCCAGGACTTTTTATTTTGAGACAGGGTTTGCTAAATTGCTTAGGGCCTTGCTGAATTGCTGAGCTGGCCTCAAACTTGTGATCCTTCTGCTTTATCCTCCCAAGTCACTGAGATTACAGGCATGCGCCTCCGTGCCTGGATGAAATTCTTAAATTATATAGTTACAGATTAAATGAAATGTGTGCTTTCCTACACATGTTTCCCCCTCCTTCCCTCCCTCGTGGCCTCCCTTTCTCCCTATTTCTCTCTCTCCTTTTCTTCCCTCCTCTGACTTTTCCCCCTCCTTCCAGCCTTCCCTATCTCTCTTTTTCCTTCTGTTTTTCCCCTTTCTTTCTTCTCATTATTTTTTTCTTGCTTCAAAATTTTGAAAAAATATAATCTGTATTCTCTCCGTGTGTTGATGCCATCAGCCTTCGTGGCTATAATTTTAAATCCAGCCTTCGTAGTCCTATTGATCCTCTCTATTTAGCAAATCATACTGGTTTTCTTTCTTTTTCTTTTTACCATTATTAGTACTATTGCCTCATACGAGGGGCTAAGATTTGTGACATTATCACACAAAGAATGTCTGTAAAACTTTATACATACTATAATCTCAACATTATTCCTTTTATAGCACAGTTATACATGTAAACATTATTTGTTTTTATATCAGCTCTCATCACCACCCTCTGCCAAGATTCAATACCTCAGTCTCTATTTTTTAATTGTTACTACCTCAGAATTACACGTTATTTTAGAAAAATTAAAAAACAGTTGGACATTAATAAGAAATTCATAATGGCTCATAACACCATTTCATCCTATTAAAATTTGGTATAGATCATAGCAAGTTTTATATAAAAGAATCTTGATTGAGGTTTAATTTATATTCCATAAAGTTTAACTATTCAAAGTACAAGTTAGTAATTTTTATCACATTTACTGAATTGTACAATCATCAGGATCCAGTTTTAGAACATTTCCATCACCCCTACAGGATCCTTCATGTCCTTTTAGAGTCAAGCCCAGTTCCTATCCTGGCATCCACACTAGTCCCAGGCCATCCCTAATCTGCTGACTACAGATTTGATTTTTTAAATTTTTCTAGACATTTCATATCAACAAAATCGTGCAATATGGTCCTTTGTGTCTATTTTACTAAGCATATCATTTTTGAGGAGTATTATTTTGCAGCATGTATCAGTGTTTCATCCTACCACTGTGAATGGTACAAATTGTACAGGTATACCATATTTTGTTTCTCCATTTGTTAGTTGATGATGCCATTCCAACAGCTTTTTGGTACAATACCACTCTGCATTAAGTATTGACCAAGCACATGTCCACATGGCTTCTGGTTTTAATGTAGGGTGAGTACTCATTTTGAACATATAATACTATTACTTCTCTCTCTCTTTTCTGCTGACAGGGCCTGATTAACCTATATGGAGCACATACATTCTTCTTGTGCCTTGAAGACACCAGTGGTTCCTCTTTTGGAGTTTTTCTGATGAACAGTAATGCCATGGGTAGGAAGCATCTTTCTCTCTTCCATGGGTAGGAGTAAGTCTTAGGACACTGCTTTTATAAAAAATGACTGTATGTTGAGATCACTGTTTGACAGAGACATGTTGATCTTAATGATACTTCTATTGAAACTGAGACTTGAAAGTATTTTAATCTACCTACAAATCCAGCTCATCCTTAAAAGCCATTTTCATTGGAAACTGCTTCAGGGATTTCCTTTATGGAATGTTTCCTTTTAATATTCTGTAGATAACAGCAACCACTGATAGACACATTCCAAGAAAACTTGCAGATTTCAACATGTGCCATGCTGTCTGACTGTAGGCGACAGGTTGCATTTTAAGGGCAGTTTCTCATAGTTTGCCCCTAATTTACCCATAATCTTCACCTCTGGGTTCTGGATTAGTGGTGCATTAATAGGCATTTATATTGTTTTTACATTTTTAATTATAGTCAAACTTACCCAATAAGATTTTCAAAACATTTTCTTCAAGCAGAGCCACTCACAAAACCCAGAAGTTTGTATTTTTATATGGTCAAATTAAAATAGAGTTTATTTTTCCTTCTCTTAAACAAAACTTAATTCTTCCTTGCTATTTTACTAACTTGATAGATTAATAAATTTCAACAATACAAGTCAGTGAAGTCCATCCATTCCACAGATAAAAATTCAGTGGAAAGTAATATGTAAAAGAAACTTTGCTTGCTATTCATATTTGATTCACATTATAGGATAGGAAGTGAACATATGTGATTTTTACTGAGATTATTTTGGATGGCTCAGCTATTCATACCCCCAAGAAAAGTATATACTCAATTCTAATAACTCTCACTTTAATTCTCTCAGAGGTCGCTCTTCAGCCTGCTCCTGCAGTCACTTACCGCACAATTGGGGGCATTCTTGACTTCTACGTGTTCCTGGGAAACACTCCAGAGCAAGTGGTTCAGGAATACCTGGAGGTACGTCTTGGTATTTAGAGTTGTTGTTTATTGCTATTGCCTTATATGCTGGTTTAGATCATCGAGAGGAAAATAAGGGTTATTAGTAGATGGGATGGATTATAAACACTGGGGTTGCAGTCTTTTATTGCTTATTTTCTTATTTTGATGATACTTATTGGATGTTTTCTGCATGCTAAAAAGGCACTATGCTAGGCTTGAAAAATGCAAAAATAAGCCAGCATCCTGCACTCAAGACATTTATCATCTATCCAGGTTGAGCCATCAATCACTCCAGAGACCAAAGGATAAAAGTCAGTGAAGTGCATCCATTCCACAGATAAAAATTCAGTGGAAAGTAATATGTAAAAGAAACTTTGCTTGCTATTCATATTTGATTCATATTATAAGATAGGAAGGGACTGTAGATACTTTCCATATGGAAAAACTCAGACATGGAAAGATAAAGTGATTTGCTCAGGATGGCTCGTAAAGGCATGAAAATATGGTTCCCAGATGCCACTGAATTTATAATCAATAAGAGAATATGATACATACAGCCTGAAATAATTATAATAAGGAACACCTTATAATATATTCTGTGAATGAGGTGCAAATAAACTGTACAGGAATTCAAAGGTATGAGAGAAAGCCCACTTATGTTAGAAGGCAGAGACTTTCAGGTAATAGTGTGAGGCAGGTTAATAATTTTCAGGTTCCACATTCAATAGAAGTTTTGTTGAGTTCAGCATGCTTCTGCTAGACAGTGATCTCAACATAGAAGTCTTTTCTATAAAAGCAACTTCCTAAGACCTACTCTTTCCCACGGAAGAGAGAAAGATGCTTCCTATCCATGGCATTACTAATCTCAGTGTTGGCTAGAACAACTTGGAAAGTTGGATTTTAATCATATTTCAGTATTTCTTCATCCACCTGCTCCTCATCTCATCAATCCTTTTTTTTTTTTTTACCTTAGCATACACTGTTATCTGACATCACATCTGACACATTTATCTCCTTTGAACTCTGTGAGAGCAGAAACTAGGCTTGCTTTGTGACATTATAGTCTCAGTGCTCACACCAGCCCCTACCACATTATAAACTCTGATGAAATATTTATGGATTGAAGGACTACTAACTGCTTTCCCCCAAAGATGACACCATTAGGCAAACATTTTCTGAAAATTCTATTATTTTTTTGAATTTGCTGTAGTTGGGAATACATTTAGATGCTTAAGTGAAAAAAGATATGAGCTGTGGAATTTTGCAGATTAGCTTTAGGAGATTACTCTTGGCTCTGACATTTTAGGATCTGAGGACTTTAGAGAAAATGAAATGGAGCTAATGCATCCGTTGTTGAACTTGGCACTACCAAATGTTTATTGTGAGGCTTAGACACTGCTTTACTTCTCTTTCCAGCTTGTTGGACGACCATTCTTGCCTTCCTACTGGAATCTTGGGTTCCAGTTAAGTCGCAGGGATTATGGTGGCATCAATGGGTTGGAAGAGGTTGTAAACCGAACTCGTGAAGCTGGGATCCCGTATGTAAGTTGGCACATCTCTTATCATGTATTTGACCCCATCTTTAATTTTTTGCATGAAATTCAGCCTGTTAGGAAATGATATAAAAATGGTTTATAGAGAGGCAGACCCACATCAGAAATTTGCATGCTGCATCATCCATCATCATGGTTATAACATTCCTAATATATTCATTAACAAACATTTCAAGAGCACCTGTGATATGTCAAGTATTCAAGCTCATGGGTTACAGAGCTGAACAAAATGCAGTTCCTACTTTCAACTCCTTCCAATGCCTTATGGCATGCCTCTATCAGGATGAGAAAATAAAGCTGGAACCTAAAAGCAGCTGCCTCTTTCTGGAAGGACATATTCACTTCTAGGAGTTAGCCAAAACCTGGAAGATCCAGGATTATTAAGAAATATGGCTTTGTTACCATCTAGGGGTACTGGGTTCATTGTCTCTGTTCAGCAGGGAATTGAAAGACAGAACACAGAGGTAGTAAGAAAGAAGTAGGTTTATTGCAAAAATGACAGGAATCAAGTGGGTGAGTTTTGGGACTGTTCTTTTATGGTCTCTGGAATTTCCTCCTTCCCTATCTCCTTTCCTGTCCATGCTCTCCTAACTATTATTGACTAGTGCCCCCTCTGTCTACACATCTGTTTTAATTTTTCCATTGGATCCCCTGCTTAAGAGCATGAGTGCAGAAGTGTCTGATTGGGTCCCCCAACTTGGGTCCATGAGTACTTTTGTCAAGTTAGGAAGCTGATGTCATCAGAAGACCCTCTCATGCTCCCTTGTTCTGGCCCTGCCCCTGACCTCTGCACTCCCCATCTTTGCCTGGCTGCCTAAGCCCTTCTGTATCTCCCTCAGCTTTGGTTCCCATGATTGGAAACTAGAGCTGATTTCCTTCCCATCAGCTTGGTGGTATTTCCTAAGTTCTAATTGGCCAGTGTTACCTTTCAGGATGTCCAGTACTCTGATATAGACTACATGGATGGAAAGAAGGATTTCACTATTGATGAAAAGGCTTACCCTGATCTCTCAGGTTTTGTCAAGAAGTTACATGACGATGGCCAAAAATATATAATTATTATGGTATGTCAAACACTTACCCTATTGCCTAGTATTTTCTTTCAAAATGCAAAGGAAATTTATAAAAATAATATTTATATCTTATTTCTTTATTAGAATCCTGGTATCCTGAAAGATCCTAACTACAATACATATAAAGATGGAAGACTAAAGAGAGTATGGATCTTGGAGAACAATGACTTCGCTGTTGGGGAGGTAATTTCTAATGAAAGAGTAAATTACAGCTAGTTTTGGGAAACTGGTATTTTTGATAATGGGTAAAAGTCCAGCTACACTATTGCTTATTTTTTTAATGGCTTTAAAGGTTTCCTTCATCACTATTTTTAAACCAATACATGTACTAATAAAATGATTAAAATTCTGAAAGACATAAGATGCTAGCTGATCCATGAATATCACTGATAATTAAGAAGCAACGTATCATTAGAAAAAACAATTCAGTTACTTGAAGTCTTCCTGCCTCCAATTTCTACCTCTTTCCCAAAATAATAAATTCAACTACAACAATAGATCATTGTGCTTACAGGTTAATGTGGAACCTATCTAAGGTAGTATATTAATTTGTACCAAGCTTCTAGATAAAGCCCAGGCTTTATTCTAAGGTAGTAGTTGCAGGAATTGAAATAGAATGACTCCTCGGGAGCCTATTTTAAAGACAGCTGACTTTCTGAGAGATTGTACTTTAAGTCAAATCATGATGTGACTTTTATCCAGTTATGTGGTTGTCAACCCCAGGTGATTGGATTATCTGAGAGTTATTAAAGTTAGAACTCTCGAAAGTTCACGTGAAGGCAGTTCCTGCTTTTTCTGAGTAGTTGACTTTGCAAAATTGTCTTCTCAAGAGTTATTGATGGCTCCTTCTTACTCTGCTCACTAGATTCTTTTCATTGACTGGTAAATTACATGAGTTGGCTGAGGCAGTGTAGGTAGAAGTGGGTAGAGGTCTTGTTTAGAATGCTCTTGTTTAGAATGGAGCTCACTTGGCCTGATCTCCACTCAAGGCTTCTGTTGGTTGTTGCTCTGTCAAACCACTTGCTTCCTGGTGTCCAAAATTATCTGAAATTATTACTTGGTTTCCATCACCTGCAACAAAAGTCCAAGAGCTCAATCCACTGAAAGTGGGGATTTCCATTGCCTACCTTGTGTTTGAAGAATTCTTTACACTTTTATATATATATATATATATATATATATATATATATATATTCATTATGCTGCATGAGTTTAAATTGTTCCTAATTGCCAACAAATAAATGTAGTGGGAAAATCAGCAAGAATGTTGCAAAAAAAGTTTGGAACCTATTAAATCAGAATGTTCAGTAATTTGGCTATGGTTATATTTTTGTGCCTTCCATGGAAGACACTTAAAGCTGCTGTCAAATAGATGTAGCTAAAACAGAAATAGGATTAGGAATATTTGGCAGGAATAAGAGGCATAAACTTTACTCAACTGTTTATAAAATATTGTTTCTATGCAAATATTAGAATATTATTTATAACAAAATTATACAAAGGGTTTAATATAACCTTTAATTAATAATACATTAAACATATTCAATTATCCTCTTTAAAAATATCCTACAATACTTTTATTGGTTTATCTCCCAGTTGGCCTGACATAATGAAATTTTACTTTTTTTTTTTTTTTACAAAAAAGTCATATGATGGATTTTCATTTAATTGGTCATTTTTCCTTTCCTTTTTTCTTCCTCTGGCAACTTGTATGCATTTTTCGGTTTCATAGGCATTGGGAGAAATAACAAATTTTAATTCTAAAAGTAAGGCAATGTGGGTTTTCTGTAAAATAAATAGTAGCCAATAAGCAATGAATCACTGAACAGCACATAAATTGTCCATTCTCCCTCTTTGATCTCTAGGGATACCCTGGTCCAACTGTCTTTCCTGACTTCAGCAATCCAGTGTGTACCCAGTGGTGGACGCAACAGGTCACTGAATTTCACAGCAGTCTGAACTTTGATGGAGTGTGGATTGTAAGTTATTATTTTAGACCCAAATTTCCTTTGGAAAGTGACATACCAAATTTTCATATGAATTTCTATCCTGATCTATAATAAAATAGTTTGCTTGACATACTGGTGTTCATAATTCTTTTACTTGATGATGACCACATATATATTGAACCAGACTCCTCAGAACTCTATTCTTATTCTGAATTAGCCACTATCTGGTTACTTCATTTGGGTAAAAACAGTGTTTTCTCATGGCTTTGTTGTTTTCCTCCATTTACTGTCTTTTCAGCTTAAAAAAGACTATTTTATTAAAGGTTGTGATTTCTAAGAATTGTAGCACTGGCCCATAAAAATTTAATTGCTAGAAAATAATATAATGAGGTCCTGTGTTTTTTATTAAAGGACAGTGGGGAAATTTATTTGAAACTTGAAAACATCTGATATGATAGTGATATTAGACATTACTTATTTTTAATTCATTTTAAAGAAATAGATTTGAGCTCAATTATATTCTCTCATTATTCCTTGCACAGTGGAATAAAAAAAAACAGGGAAAATTATAGCACAGAAGTGTTAGCCTATTTTTATTCTTTAAGCATAGTAAAACATAACATAGATAGTGAAATCTTCACAATTTATAAGGCTAGGGACAGCCTTTGAAATGACATTTCTTAATCAATAGTTTGAAATAAACTAATACAAAGCTAAATCCAGCCAATGTCATTAGAACTGGACTGTCTTGAGAGAGAACCTAATCCAATGACTTAATTTTACAAAAGATAAAACAGAGGCCAAGAAAAGTTGGGGAGATCATTCAAAATCCAAGAACCAGATCATAGAGAACCCCAGATATCCTGGTTTCTCATTCTGCATCTCCTCATAGCTAATTATAAATCAATAACATTGCCCATTTTGTGTGTTTTGTGTCTGAAGGAAATGGATGAAGTAACTAGCTTTCTCCAAGATTCTGGTCATTCGTGTGAATCAAATAGCTTGAACTTCCCACCTTTTACTCCTGGTGAGTGTGTGCCTGTTTGCTAAAGCTGCAGACATGAAATGTGTTTAAAATAGCCTCATTAATCCTCCATGTGGTCATAGAAATTCCCTCTGGTCCAGTGGGTCCCCAGACTTCCCAACCACTCTTCCACTTGTGTCTTGGTGGCATTGCTTTGTCTCCAGTTACATTTTCACTGCCACAAGCCAAGGGTAATAGGTGGTGAAAAGTGTTGTCTGAGTCTGGTGCCTCCCCTGGCCATCCTTCCACCCCAGAGTTCCAGATTCTTTCATCCGTTAGCTGGTACCATTTCAGGCTTTGTGAGAGGTTTAGAACTCTCCAAGCACAAACTACCTTACACTGAAGTAAAGCTGTAATTTTGTTAACATCCCCCCCTTTCTTTTTTTCCTTCCCTCCTCCATTCCTCTCTTTATCTCATTCTCCCTTCCTTTCTCCACCCTCCCCACACCATTAGCAATAGCTTAAGACATCAGTGGTTCCCTAAAGGTTCTATTTATAGGTCTCATTTCCTTCACGACACTCTTCTGCCATGATATTCTTTTGAAATAATGTGTGTGTGTGTGCGTGCACATACCTGGGTTTTAGGTGGGGGTGAGCAGTATACAGTATGCTGTGAAAACAAAGAAATCCCATTATCTCCATGCATTAGTCAATAAATTTTGCTTTTCACTGACATCGTACTCTAGTGAGGATGGATGGTTTGATCCAAGCGGTGATTCAGAGATCTAGTTTCTTCCATTGTCTGTTTTTCTTATCTCAGAGGCTTTTATTTCCAGGTTCAAGGGCAAAGAGGAGAAAGGGTGGAGGGAATATTATGGGTGGGCCTGGAAATGGGGTCTACCCTATTTACCCAAATTCCTTTTCTAGAATCTGCTCCCAGCCTCAGCTTAACTTCAAGGGGAGGTATAATCTTCAAGTACCATCTCCTCATATTCCTGGAAGAAAACATTGGCTGGGTGGACATCTGGACAGCCTCTGCCAATTTATCTTGCTTTGTCTACCCTACATACATGCCTGCTGTTATGGTTTGGATCTAAAATGACCCCAAAGATCACAGGTTGAGTGCAGAGTCCTCAGTGCAACAAGTTTCAGAGGTGGAGCTTCTAGGTCATAATTGGGTCATGTGGGCTCTAGCATCAGTGTATTAATCCATTTAATCCACCAAATGGATCGATCCATCCATAACTTCGTGAACTAGTGGGAATTGGGACCTAGTTGGAAGAAGTAGGTCCCTGAGGGCATACCCTGGAGGGGCTTATCTTTTCCCCAGCCCCCTTGCCCTCTCCACTTCCTGGCTGCCATGAGCTGACAAGCTTTCCCTCACCGTACTCTACTACCGTGAAATTATGCCTCACCTCAGGCCCAAAGGAGTGGGGCCACTGACCATGGATGTAAACCTATGACACCATGGGCCAAGGAAAGTCTTTCCTCCTCTAGTTGTTCTCACCAGGTGTTTTGGTCACAGTGGTGGACCCCCTGAGCTACTAACAAAAGTGAGATCAAGGCTGATAGGCTGATCTCCTTCTTGGTTCCCTTTGATCACTGAAGGAGTAAAGAATTTTGAGGTGAGGAGAGTCTTGATGTCAAACCATTTAACCTACTGTAAAATCTATTCTTTGCTTCCCTAAATTATTCTTTACTCTTTTCTGCTTGGTCTGTATTGCCCCCCCCCACCCACACACACACCTTTTTGTCCCACTCTGGATCAGCTTCTTAATTTTTTTCCCCCCTAACCTCTTAATCTTCTTGGCCATAGATATTGTTTTTCCCTTACTTAAAACCTCAAAGTATCACCTCCTGTTTGCTCTGGCAAGCACCCCACTCCCTACCCCTTGGCATTTTGTCTACTCACAATATGATCAGTCATGTTCCTTTTCATGGTTATGCAGCACATATTGGCATGATAAAGATACAGATGCAACAAGCTTTCAGCCTGGAAAAATTCTAGTCTCCTTTTTTTATTACTATAGTGGTTGTTTATCTCATTTTACAATCCAAGCTGGGCAAGAAATATGAATTTTTAAAATATTTTATAACCCAATTTAATATCTGACTCAAAATCTTGTGTTAGGTTGGTGGGAAAATCTTAATCTCAGTCATTCCTTGTTCTACCACTTTCTGAAGTTGTACCTCATACTAAGGCCCTACATGTGATGATGACTTCATGAAGGAAGATAAACATAGTCCTAGGTATGGGTCCATAAGGAGAAGAAAGGGAAGATAGAGATTGCAGGCCATTAAACAGTAAAGGCTGACCATTTTAGGCTTGGGAAAGGGAAAATACAGTAACAATGGAGATTCTCAGAGCCAGGATTTGGCTTTTAGTCATAAAACCACCCAAGTGCCATATCTAGCTTTTTGTTTTTAAAGTGTGACTGGGGCACTCATACCAGTATATTTACACTCAACTCTACTTGACTAAGTCTCTTCAGGTAAACAGTGTGTGCTATATGTTTAATCTCAGATTAACTGCACATTGCTCTGAGAAGGGTTTCCAGCTACCTCCACTCAACGCCATCCTTTATGAGCTCAAGGGAACACAAATTATTTTTAATGACCTCTGGGTGGTCAGTGTAGGCTCCCAATAGAAAGTGGTATTTAGGATAGAATTTAAGATCTACACAAGACGTTGTCAGGTGGAAATTGGTGGGGAAGTTACAGCAACCAGGAAGAAAAACATTGGGTGACTATTTTGTTAAAGTCGATTGATGGAGACTTGCCTTACTGATGGGTGTTTCCCCCCAGGCATTCTAGACCACTTACTGTTTGCAAGAACTCTCTGCATGGACACAGAGTTTTACTGGGGCCTTCACTATGACGTCCACAGCTTGTATGGCCACTCCATGGCAAGAGCCACACACTCGTAAGAACTCAATTTTCTCCCTCATTCCAGATTTGGGGAAGTGGGAGGTGGAGGATTTCTCTTGTGTTCCATAAGTATATTGTTCAAATATTGTTTTGAATACAAGCATATAGAAACTGTTCTAGCTGGGTACTTAAGAAGTTCTCTCCTACAAACCTTTGGTTTCTGTATCGGATTAATCTGGATTGCCTTATGGATCAGGGATTGATTTTAGCTAATAAAAATACAGGGTAACAAGATTTTACAGAGCATACTAAAATATTGTTTATGTGAAGTTCAGACTTATCTGAACTTATCTGAACAGACACACACACACATAATGTCCACACCACTACAACCACTACCATCACCACCACCACATCAGCACCATCAGCACCACCCATTATGAAAGTCTGTTAAGGAGACAGGTGTGTTCTGTAAAGCATTCCATCCTTCACCCACTTTGCCACATGAATTTTATTAAGGATAACTTTGCAAACTGATAAATAGCCCCTTTTACTCCACCCAATTTCTCTTTTGAAGATGATGAAATATAATCATTATAACCAAGATAGCAAGAAATTTGGGGTTCAACTTAAGAAAACTTTAATTTTAGATTTTCAGCAGAGATGGGGAAACCAAAATGCTGGAAGGGCTATTGGAGATCTTCCAGTGGCTCAGGGAAGAGCTAAAGTCTCAGTCTTCCTCTTGTTGTCTCCTGGTCTGGTATTTCTACAACGCCATTGTGGGGACAAAGGGGAGGGGACTTTGATGTGCTCATGGGACATGTCTCAGCCTTTATTTACCTCACTCAACTTTTCTGTGTCTGTGACACTTGAAGTCACAACTTCTCCTTTGAACCTGTTGTGTTAGTTCTTGAGACACAACTCTAGCTGGCATCTCTCTCTTTCCTGCTATTCCTTCTCACATCTGTGTCTGCATTTATCTGGATATTTTCTGTCTACTCTTTCAGGAATGAGTCTTAGAGATCAATCCTCAGGCTTCTCTTTCCATTCTCTGCTAGCACAGGGAATTTATTCCTTTCAATGGTTTTTACTTTACTTTACAATCTATAGTTCTGTATGAGATTCCTCCTTGATTTTCAGACACAAATATCCCAAACTACCTTCTGACCTTCTCTACTTGTATGTCTTATAGTACTTCTCACACCATTCACCTGGCTTTCTTCCACACTCTGGCTAATCATTTTTGAAACTCTTGAATTCCCTATCTTGGTTGGTAGCAATACCATCCTTATCTCCCAGACTCTCAAGTGAGAAACTTGGCATCATCCTTTTTCTAATGCCCTCATAAGAAATCAAATCAGCTCTTGATCTTTCTATTCTACTTTTGAAACACTACCATAACCATGTCCCATTTTATCCCCCAGCCACTTCTTAACTGAGGTCATCATCATCTCTCATGTAGATCATTCCACTTGATCTATGACCATTCTCCTTGACTTAATCCTTATCTCTAGTAAATTATCCTCTGCCCTCTCTAGAGTGTGATCCAAGGACCAGCAACGTCAGCATCAACGGGGATGTACTGAAAGTGCCACATCTCAGACCTCTATCTAGAACTTGGGAATCAAAATCTTCATTTTAACTATGGGTGTATCGAATATGTGTTCAAGTTTTGAAAGTATTATTCTACACTGCTGTCAAAGTCATCTTTCTGAGAGGCTGAGTTTTCTCATTTCTTTGTCAATTTAAAATTGCTGACTTTTGTTTGATAAAATCCAATCCCTTAGTACAACCTGTAAGGTCCATCATAGTCTAATTATTTTTTTTTGCATTCTTTGCACTCATACTTTATGCTATGGAATATATTGCTGCTTGTTTTTCCCAACTCTGAATGCTATTCATTTTTCCATGTGGTGCTTGCCCAGCACAAGATGGCCTTCCTTGTGCTGTCCATTTTGTGAACACATACATATCTATAATATCTCACCTCAGATGTACAATCTGGAAAACTTCCTAACATTTCTATGAAAATGCTGTTTCTCCTCTTTTGTACTACAATGTCATATATTGCAATATGGTTAACATGTAACAATATTATATCATAATTTTTAGATGGTCATTTCTTTTTTCCTGCTGAATAAATTCCTTGAGGGCAACCAACCTCTGTATCTTTAGTTTTGTGAATAGTATGAGCTTTGAGGATATTTTGGTGGGACAGATATGAGAAAAGGAAGAGCAAGGTGCACACACAGGGGACCTGATGAATTAGAGGTGAGACTGGGTCTGCTGTTTCCTAACACTATGCTGTCTTCAGGACTTTGCAGTACCCTGGATTGTCCAGGGGAGAGAGTTCTTGACCAGTAAATGCACAAATTTGATTCTCAGTGAAAGCAAAGTTCCAAAAAGAAGGATACCTATTTCTGATTTTGTTATGTTCTCTTTCTTACTTTTTTCTTTCTCATACCACCTCCGTTGGAACATAAACTAGTGAGTAAGACTCAATTTTCTCATCTCTAAAATGAAAGATTTGAATCGATATTCCCAATAGTCCCTCCCTGTTATGATATATTCCAACTCTTAGATGCTTCTGTTTAAGAATGGGAGGTGGGAAGGCAAGTGACTAAATGGTCAGAAAGAGTCAGGAAAGCTTCAAATTGCTTTATTGCCCATGTCTTCATGTGATAAAGGTGCTATAAAATCTTGAATGTGTGGATTAATATATTTGAATAATTATGACTAATAGTTAAAATGTAACTGTGACTGATAAAGTAGAGGGGACTTTTCTAATTTCCCTGGGTTGGGCAGGATCACCTATATTCCCTGAGAACAGTGCAGATATATGGGACTTGGCCTTTGGACATGAGGCAGAGTTACATTTAAAAAGAGGCAAGATTTTTATTCAATGGGATCTGTACATCAGGAGAAGAGAAGTCATAGGTCTGATGTAGATTTCATGCAAACTTAACTGGAAGGATAGTTTGGGGACAATGGTTACTGGGCTCAGGGAGTGAAATTCACATTCCTCTAGGCTAAAATATCAGATCTTCCCAGAGACATGACCTGATTGTAAAAGGCCAGACCTGGAGGAGGGGAAAGAGAAACTTAAGGATCTCGAAAAGGCTTTTTCTTGGCCGGGAAGAACCTGACTGCTATCTAATCTGGGTTACCATAATGGCCTGCCTCTAACCATAACCTGAGCCACGTCCATATCTGTTTCAGTTTCAGTCTAAGTGGGTTGAATGTGTTTCTTTCATGATCAATAATTGCAGAGTGCAATAAACCTCCAGCCAGGGGTAAAAAGGGTGAAGTGTCTGAAAGTCTATGCCAAGAGGAAGTGAAGACAGAGTTCCAACCTGAACTGGCATTGTGCTACACAAGATTGTGGTGGGCAGCAAGGCATGGAATCCAGGGATGTTAGAAAAACTGTCTGGAGAGAGAGGATGGGTCCAACAACCTAACACACAGTTACAATATATTGTCAATCAAAGGGTTTGGACCAAAGCCTGATCCAACAAGATGGAGAAAGCATAGTCAGGAGGACAGGAGCCTGGAGAAATTCTTTTGGGGTTACAAGAGAGTGGTTTTCACAGTCTTATATGAGATGTAAAATCTTTCTCAGAAGTGGGAAAGGAGCTGGGTACAGTGGTGCACACCTGTAATCACAGTGGCTTGGAAGCCTGAGGCAGGAGGATCATGAGTTCAACGTCCGCCTCGGCAAGAGCAAGGTGCTAAGCAATTCAGTGAGATCCTGTCTCTAAATAAGAAATAGGGAAATTGCATGGAAATGGAAGGAGACCCTCAGGGTTATACAAAATTTCATACAAGAGGAAGTGAGGGGAAAGGGGAAAATAATACAAGGGGGAGAAATGAATTACAGTAGAGGGGGTAGAGAGAGAAGAGGGGAGGGGAGGGGAGGGGGGATAGTAGAGGATAGGAAAGGCAGCAGAATACAACAGACACTAGTATGGCAACATGTAAATCAATGGATGTGTAACTGATGTGATTCTGCAATTTGTATACAGGGTAAAAATGGGAGTTCATAACCCACTTGAATCAAAGTGTGAAATATGATATATCAAGAACTATGTAATGTTTTGAACAACCAACAATAAAAAAATTAAAAAAAAAAAAGAAATAGGGTTGGGGGTGCGGCTCAGTGGTCGAGTGCCCTGAGTTCAATCGCCAGTACAAAAAAAGAAGTGGGAAAGGAGCTCTTAAAAAGGCTGGTCTGCTTACACACCTAGTTTTTGATATCCTGAGGTTTTATTTCAGTTTGGTTGGAAAGACTGTTACTTCCCACGAGGCAAGGTGGGTTCTAAATGCTCACAACTCACCTCACACTCAACTGAATGCATTCTTTTTCAGGGCCATGGAGACTATCTTCTCCAATAACAGGAGCTTCATCTTATCCCGTTCTACTTTCGCTGGATCTGGTAAATTTGCTGCTCATTGGCTGGGGGACAATGCGGCTACATGGGATGATCTCCGATGGTCCATCCCTGGTATCCTTGAATTCAACCTGTTTGGCATCCCCATGGTGAGCCTAATTCCTAGCCAAGGAACTTCAACCCTTTGTCCTTGGACACTCCTTCCATTATCAGTCTTTGAGGGTCTTTGAAAAACTAAGGAGCACATGTCTTTTGAGATATGTATTGGAAAAAATAAATTTCTCTGGGTGGTGTAAGCTGTCTTCTGAAGATAGGATGTTAAAATTGATCATTGTGTTGTCACCCATGGAGTCTCTGGAGATGGGAAAGAGATACCATGAGTGAACTGCATTAGTATCACAGAAAAAATCCCACCAGGAGAGCATCAGTGAATAGGGAAGAATGAAACTGGGAACTGAATGTTGAGGAAGAGTCCTCTATATAGGGACCATGATCAATGTCACCAGTCAGTCTGCTCAGTCTATCCTGTGATACACACTTTGTTTCTCTCATTTGTCTGTGGTCTTGCCCTGGGACTATGGAATCTCTAATGCCAATGTGATATTTCCTTTTTCTTTATCATAGAAGTACACAGTCAGTGCGTTTACCTCTCTCAGTGACTAACATTTTGGTCTGTGTGCTGATTCTCCAGGTAGGTGCCAACATCTGTGGTTATAAAGAAAACGTCACAGAGGAGCTCTGCAGAAGGTGGATGCAACTTGGAGCATTTTATCCACTATCAAGGAATCACAATGGGCCTGGGTTCAGGGTAAGATCTCCTGGAGAAGTGGCGGAGAAGTTATTGTCTCGTTTGTTTGTTTTCAAAGAGGGGTTGAGGGAGAGTCTATAGTTAACCCTCACTACAGAAAAAGGATAGGTAAATCTTACAAGATACACCTGAAACACAGGGTATCGGGGTAAGAGTAGGTGGGAAGGGGCATGCATATATATTAAATGATTTTATTGTTGGAAACTCACCCACAAAAGTGAGAAAATTGGTTAAAGCTTCTATAGTGCTTCTGTCACCTTTGTTGTCCCCTTACAGGAGCTGAGACAATTGGAGTTCATTAGAATCTTACTTTGTTTAATAAAATGGAAACCACTCATAGATATGGTAGAGAAAAGGAGAAGGATTTAGGGTCAGGCAGACCAGTGATCTGAAATACTTTTTCACTTTGTATGTTTTTATGAATAGTTTGGAAGAACACCTCTCTACTACTTCCCATGATTCATGCAACCTTTATCCTTTTCCATCTTTTAAGTGTGGGTGATTCTTGGATTGAACCCAGGGATGCTTTACCACTGAGCTGTATCCCCAGCCCTTTTTAGTTTTTATTCTTTTCTTTTTATTTTATTTTTTAGTTGTATATGGACACAATACCTTTATTTTATTTATTTATTTTATGTGGGGCTGAGGATTGAACCCAGTGCCTCATACTTGTGAGATAAGTGATCTGCCACTGAGCCCCAACCCCAGCCCTAGTTTTTATTCTTGAGACAGGGTTTTGATAAGTTTCCAAGGCTAGAAATGGACTTGCCATCTTCCTTCAGCCTCATGAGTGGGATTACAAAATGGTATTTTTGATGGGCAAGTATATAGAAGTGGCTTCAGAGTCCCTCTTAAGGAGATGTTTATAATCACAGCAGAAATAAGCAAGGTGGGTTGTCCTTTGTTTTAATGAAATAATCTGCAACTGAAATATTTCAACTTGAGTGGGTTCACATTTAGTAGTCTCATTACAGTCATGTCCTAGCAATCATTTCATCTCCAACTCCTGACTTTGTACAGTGACGGTCTCTAACCTGGAAGAACTAACGATTGTTTTAGTCAACTTTTTCATCACTGTGACCAAAAGACCTGACAAGAACAAATAGAGGAGGAAAAACTCATTTGGGGCTCATAGTTTCAGAGGTTTCAGTCCATAAACAGCTGACTCCATTGCTCTAGGCCTAAGGTGAAGCTTCATGGAGGAAAGGTGTGGAAGAGCAGAGCAGCTCAGGACGTGGCCACAAGGAAACAGGGAGCACTCCCCTCAAAAAGACCAATATATTCCCCAGCGTGCCCCCAATGACCTGCCTCCTCTGGCCACACCCTAACCGCCTACTGTTACCCCTCAGTTAATCCACTGAGCTGGATCAATGCACTGATTAGGTTAAGGCTCTCATAACCCAATCATTTTACTTGTCCACTTCCTTGCAGTGTCTGACACGTGAGCTTTCCGGGGAAACCTCATATCTAAACTCTAACAACTGTCAACCCTCCAACACATTTTATCCCTGGCTTTCCTAGCCGCTTGTGGTCTAGAGAGAGATGCATTATTTCTGAATGTTCAAGAAGGTGGCTGGGAGCACAGAAGGCAGGTGCTCTTCACAAAGAGATGGACTGAAATGACTTAGATAAGAGCACTCAGCTCACCAAGATGGCTAGATTAGAATGTTAGCTTGCTTTCTCATATGCTACCTCTTTTCAATAGGATTGTAATAAGAGCTACACATGCCAGTCTAACATTAAGTTTAGAAAGTAAAAAGAAACAGGGAATATCTTAAATGTATTTTACGTAATGCAATATACAAAACATTATCAACCTGTTTTACATAAGCTATTATTTTTTAATTTTAATTTGTTATATATGACAGCAGATATATTGCAGTTCGTATTACACATATAGAACATAATTTTTTATATCTCTGGTTGTACACAAAGTAGAGTCACACCATTTGTGTCTTCATACATGTATTTATGGTAATGATGTCTACCTCATTCCACCGTCTTTCCTACCCCCATGCCTGCTCTCTTCCCCTCCCTCCCTTTTGCCCTATCTAGAATTTATCTAATCCTCTCATGACCCCCCAATCACATTATGAATTAGCATCCTGAAATCAGAGAAAACATTCAGCATTTGGTTTTTTTGGGACTGGCTAATTCACTTAGCACTATATTCTCCAACTCCATCCATTCACCTGCAAATACCATGATTTTATTCTTTTTTTAAATTTATATACTGAATAATGTTCCATTGTGTATATATACCACATTTTCTTTATCCATTCATCTACTGAAGGGTACTTAGGTTGGTTCCTTGGTTCCACAGTTTAGCTATTGTGAATTGTGCTGCTATAAACATTGATGTGGCTGTGTCCCTGTAGTATGTTGTTTTTAAGTCCTTTGGATATAGACCGAGGAGTGGGATATCTGGGTCAAATGGTGGTTCCACTCCCAGTTTTCCAAGGATTCTCCATACTGCTTTACATATTGGCTGTACCAATCTGCAGTCCCACCAGCAATGAATGAGTATTCCTCCCACCCCCCATATCCTCGCCAACACTTATTATTGTTTTTATTCTGCCATTCTGACTGGAGTGAGATGAAATCTTAGGGTAGTTTTCATTTGCATTTCTCTAATTGCTAAAGATGTTGAACATTTTTTCATATATTTGTTGATTGATTATATATCATCTTCTGAGAAGTGTCTGTTCAGTTCCTTGGCCTATTTATTGATTGGGTTATTTGTTATTTTGGTGTTAAGATTTTTAAGTTCTTTTTATATCCTAGAGATTAGTGCTTATCTGATGTGTGTGTGGTAAAAATTTGTTCCCAAATTGTAGGCTCTCTATTCACCTCACTTATTGTTTCTTTTGCTGAGAAGAAGCTTTTTAGTTTGAATTTATCCCATTTATTGATTTCTGATATTAATTCTTGCACTATAGGAGTCTTATTAAGGAAGTTGGGGCCTAATCTGACATGATGGAGGTTTGGGCCTACTTTTTCTTCTAATAGACGCAGGGTCTCTGGTTCAATTCCTAGGTCTTTGATCCACTTTGATTTTTTGTGTGTGTGCATGGTGAGAGATAGGGGTTGAAAAGATAGTCTCTTCAACAAATGGTGCTGGGAAAACTGGAAATCCATATACAAAAACTATTATTAATGAGGTATTTTATATCCCTTTCTATCAAGCCTTCAAAATTCAGTGTATATTTTTACAACTTAATTTGTATTAGTTAAATTTTTAGCAGTTGAAGTAAAACAATTCTATCAAAACAATGAAGCTTTGTTTAATGGAAACTATGTTACATTGATTCAGTGTTTAGATTTATATTTAAATCGGCCATAAACAAATAAAATTAAAAGTTCAGTTTCTCAGTCTTATTGACCACATTTCAAGTGTCCAGTAGACATGTGGTTCATGGCTACCACAGTGAACAGCACAGTTCTAGACTTTCTCAGTTGGAAACCAAGGAGGTGGAGGCTGTGGAGTACTGGTTTTTTGTGTGTGTTTGGCCTCAGGGTTCTTATGAGCCCCATACTGAATACATAGAATAGTTCTATTTGCAGAGCACGAACAAAGGAAAGCAGTGAATTCAGGTAATTTCCTCCAAAATTTACTCCCAGTGATACCACTGGTTACTGGTGATGAGTCCTCCTTCCCCATATGTTGAAGTTTGAGCATTAGAGAAGCACGCCGAGGCAAGGGTATAAAGCAGGGTTTATTTATAAAGGGGTAACATAGACTTCTCCCAGGAGGGAGGAGGGGGCCATAGCTGGTACCCTGGTATCCCGAGAAGTGAAGGTGTTTTGCGTTTTTATATGTCCTAGGCTTCCTTTGTTCTCCTGCTCTCTTCCCTTTATCTTTCTCCTTTCTGTGTATGTGACTAGGCCCAGGAAATGCTCAGTGGGATGGCCAAAGGTGAAGAGGCTGGGAGGAGTGATCCAGGCAGGAGGGGGGCCCAGGGCAAATTAATTAGCAATTTTTACAACTCCCTGTAGGGAGGGACAATTCTTGGGACTGGTAACCTTAGCAACAGGCTGGAGCAGGGGCACCTTTCTTGATAAGGATGGAGAAAGAGCTATGAAGGAATTAACATTTTGATCCCTCCATTTCCTGGATCTGACCCTCTCCTGTCTGCCTGTCTAATTCTGGCTTTACCAGTCATATGTTTCCAGATGACAGGTCTAAATATGACATGCAAAACTTTTACATCTTCCAAATTTTAATGAAATTATTACAAAATGAGTGCCAACCATTGATGGAAAATTTCTGTCTCTGGGTGGTAAGAAGAGTAGATTTCTCTTCTAATGGGTTCCTTTCTTGCTCTTGGAAAAAATCTGCTAAAATCTGGCCTTGTGGTTTCTTCACACCTTATACATCTAAGAACAAATAGAGGTCATTATCTTCAGGCTAGAGAAAATAAAATAAGTTGTGATGGCGAAAATATGACAGATGAAACTATATAATATTTTAAATTGGATTTTTTTAATTCTTCTATTGTTTCTTATTTTTTTATTATTAGTTGTTCAAAACATTACAAAGCTCTTGACATATCATATTTAATACATTTGATTCAAGAGGATTATGAACTCCCGTTTTAATCCCGTATACAGATTGCAGAATCTGGAAAATTTGTTAAAATACATGAAAAGAAAAAATGAATTATAGATCATGGTGGTAAGCAGTATGGCTAGGGAAATGGATTTAAAATTATTTTAGTAGTGCAACTCAGTTTAGTACAATTTGTTATTATTATCTTCCAAATAAATATTATAAAAACCCTCAATAAATAAGAGCAGTTTTGGGGGGAGCAGGGCCCACTGCAGCCCCTTTATGTCCATTGCAACTCTGTGGGCTTCTTGGCCACCGGGGCGGCTCTCGTCTGCCCTCAGAAGACAAGTGCCAAATGAAAGTTCTGCCACCTGCTTGCAATTCCACATTGAGGAAGTCCTGTGACCTTTGATGGTGCTTCCTTAGCTGCACAACGAAGGAGTGGGGTCAAGAATCTTTCAGTTATGGAAATGCTTTGATGTCCTCCAAGTTGGGGAACATTGCTCCTGTCACCTGGGAAAACCAGTCACAAAGGGACTTTTAAATGGTGATGGAAAAAACAACTCAGTCATTGCTTGCATTTTCTTCTAGGACCAGGATCCTGCTGCCTTTGGTTCTGAGTCCCTGCTGCTGAATTCCTCCAGACATTATCTGAACATCCGATACACTCTGCTGCCCTATCTCTACACCCTCTTCTACCGCGCTCACACCCAGGGGCAGACAGTAGCAAGGCCCCTGTTACATGAGTGAGTTTCCTAACCCTCAGAGAACCCCCTTCAGATAGCCGTCTCATTTGTCTTGTTAATGGGAACAAGGTGAGTTAGGACACGTCAGGTGCTCTTGTCTTGTGCTGGGAATTGTGCATGCCTCACCGAGTCTCTCTTTTCTAGGTTCTACCAGGACCCAGCCACGTGGGAAGTGCATGAGCAGTTCTTGTGGGGGCCTGGACTCCTCATCACACCTGTCCTGTATGAAGTATGTTTGTAACCTGAACGACGGGGTGGGATATCACTCTTGTCCTTGTTGCATTCCAGCTGAATGAACCAGGTCCTGAGCATCTATGATTGTATTTAAATCTGACTATGTATATAAATAAGAGAGACCATAACGGTTTAGAAATAGGAAAAGAGTATTCTTGGTTCATTGACCCACCAAGGAAAACGATTTTCATCTTGAAAAATTGCCTCACAACCTGTGTCATTAGACATTCAGGATGGCATTGACGTGGGTTTTAAATACCTTGGTGTGTGTGGATGCTGACATGTGTGTTTCCTGATATCCAGAAGGGTGTGCTTTGGGGTTGGGCTGAGAAGAAAGTTTGGATATGTTGAAGAGCAGGGAGGGAAAACAGAGGGATGGTCAAAGGTGGGAGTGTTACTCTGAGGTCCCTGCATGGAGGACCACCTGCATTTTCCTGAAGTGTGACTTGGGGCAGGGCTGAGTGGGGAAGGTCAGGGAAGGATCAGACTTGAGTACACCTGCTTATAAACACAGGAGCTGGGTTTTTGTTTTGGGAGTCTGGCTGGCTCATCTCCACCCAGCATGACTCAGTGTATGAACTTTCTATGCTTTTCCTAGAAAATGCACAAGCATTACAGACTTAATTTCTAAATACAACCCTGCTTTGAATAAACTGCCCAACCTCTCGGGATTTCTGTAGTTTTTATTAGTGGAGTGGATGATCCCCGCTGTGTCCCAGGGTTGTTCAAATGATGACGTGCAGTGATGTGGAGGCGTTGGGTAAACTGTAAAGTGGGATGCTACCCTTGCTTTTCCTTTTCATTTCCCTAGGGTGCAGACCAAGTAAGAGCATACATTCCAGATGCCACCTGGTATGACTACGAGACAGTAAGTGCAGTGACTCCAATTGTCTCAGAAATTGCCTCTGGCAGAGAGCAATTATATGCCAGCAGTCTTGAGGGCTTGGGGTAGGATAATCATATGAGGTTTTACATTTAATTGATTGTGGGTACATTCAGGATGGTATAACAAAATACCTTACACTGGGTAATTTGTAAACAACCAAGATCTATCACTCAAGTTCTAGAGGCTGGAAAGTCCAAGATGGAGGCAATAGGAGAGGCAGTGTCTGGTGGGGGCTCACTCTTCTTCATTGATGGCACTTCTCACTGAGCCCTCTTGACTGAAGCACTTACCCAAATGCCCCACCTCTTAATATCACCACAAAAGGGTATTAGGTTACAAAATATGAGTTTCAGGAGGACATTGACACTACGATCATAGTAGAAGACTTTTTAAAATGTACAGTGAAATAATTTGAATAGCTGGAGTAGGTTTTTTGGAAATTTACTCTTTAATTCTTGGACCTGTGCAGTTATTGGCCTTTATCTGTGATAATATAAAGAACTCAAGCTCAGTTGGGGGAATTGTGGTGTGTTAGTCAGTTTTCTGTTACTATAACAAGTGCACCAAATCATCCCCTTATAAAGAGAAAAGGTTTATTTCAGCTGTAGTTTCAGAGGTTCTAGTCCATGATTAATTGGCCTTATGCTTTGGGCCTGTGATGGCACCTCTCAACTCATGGCCAGAAAGTGAAAGAGAGAAAAAGAAGAGGTAGAGACCTTTAAGTTTACACCAACAATGCCCTAAAACCTCTCACCAAGGCGGCCCCCACCTACTAAAAGTTTCCACCACCTACTAATAGCTCCATGCTGGAACCAAACCTTTAACACGTGGACCTTTGGGAACATCCTGATTCCAAGTGCGTTGTACAGTGTGGTATGCCGTAAAGGAAGGGTGTGGATTGGAGTCTCAGCTCTGCTCTCTATATACCTCAAGAAAGTCACTTCATTTTGGAAGTCTCCATTTTTCTCTTCTTTAAAATGAGGCAATTGAACTGGATGATCTCCAAGGTTCTTCGTAGTCCTCACGTTCTGTTTCCTTTTGTGGATTAGGGAGATGCCATCCAGTGGAGAAAGCAATTTGTGGATATGCTACTCCCAGGTGACAGAATTGGGCTTCACCTTCGAGGAGGCTACATATTTCCCATCCAGCAGCCGAACACAACCACAGAAACCAGGTAAGTAAGCTCTTGTGTCTTCTAGGACATGACTACTTTGGTGCTCTAGTGGGACATGGCATTATGAGGGAGACAGTAGAGGCCGAGAGCAGGTGGACAAGGAAATAGTGCCAGGAAGCAGTCTTCCCCTCCTCCTTTCAAAGTTGGCTCCAAATTGTCCTCTGAGTCCTCATTGGGCAGTAGCAAATGTAGCCTCAGTTCCTTTACATTTTCTATAGTTCTTTACACTTGTATTAAATTAAATTATAGGGATAAGCAAAATAATAATCCATGAGGATTTCCCTCTGGCCAGAAATTATCCTCAGGTAAATCCCCTATTGTGTGGGAGAACACAAATTCAGAAGGAGATAAAGGGTGATCGCGTGAATGTCAACATAGCTTCGAGTTCAGGAGCTCAGATTCTGGAGACAGACAGTTTGAGTTCAAGTCCTGGCTCTGCAATATATATATACCCTGGGCACCTCACTTTTCTGTACTTATGCTTTTCATTGGTAAACTGGGGAGGATGATAGTCTGACTTTTTAGCATGGCTGTGATTGTTAAATGGATTGATACAGATGACAACGCATGTAGGATATTTACAAGAGTGCCTGTCACATGGTAAGCACCCAATACATATTCACTGTTAGGCTTATTGCAAACCAACTTCCAGCAGGCACTGCGTCCCTCCACCAGTCAATCTTACGATCACTCTACTAACTTCTGCTGTCTGCCTACACCCAACTTCCATGTTTGCACACAATGTTAGGATCTACTAAGTTTCTGGGGTGGACTCTGGGAGGATCTGTCCCTGGGACATCAAGGGGTCTGGTCTCACATGGATCCCTCTCTTCTTCATTCTCTGAAACTGGGAACTACTTTTCTCAGCCGGAAGAATTCCCTGGGACTCATTGTCGCCTTGGACTATAAGAGAGAAGCCAAGGGAGAGCTGTACTGGGATGACGGTGTGACTAAAGGTACACTTCCTCCTGGGGCCATCTCTGTGGCCCTCAGTGGGAGCGAATTACTGAAGGCTGCCCAGTAAAGCACTCTTATCATGCTGTTTATTTCTGTAGCTTATAATTATTGAGTGAGAACTCATTCTGATAGGTTCTGTTAGCCACACACAGTGCATAAATGACTTCAAAATGTCCAACTTCTGTGTTTTGGACCCTTCCAAAGCAACAGACATCAGTTTGTTTAGTTTACTTATTCTCTTCTCTGGATATCATCATTTATACAAAGCAATACATTTTGCTTACATCTTTGTACAGTACAGATTCAGTCACTCTTGAGGCAGATGAATCTAGTTTGTGTAGTGTGCTTTTACATTTTAAGCTTTTCATATGAATGCCTCACAAGTTTTTAGCCAGGGATTATATAAAAATTCCACCTTGAATGAAGTCATAACTGTTAATATTTATTTGCTATTTAGTAATACATAATAAACAAGACATATGCACAAGAATGTGATATAAAATGTACCTTGGGAAAGCCATATTCTAGCAGGATACGTACTAAGCAAGTGGATAACTATAATGCAATACAAACTGTATTAAATTCCAGCAGAACAGTACCACAAAGAGTAATAAGAATTCATAGAAAGTGCTCCAAGAAACTTCTGTGGCTGTTGACAAAAATGTGCAGATTAGATGCAAAGGTATTTCAGGTAAAGAGAAAAGCTAGACTCCTCTGCTGCCCACGGTGATGGACCTGCATCTATCTTTCTCTTTCAGATGCTGTAACTAATAATATGTATATTCTGTATGATTTCTCTGTTACTTCTGTAAGTACTATTTTCATGAAACACACACACACTTGATGCTCCTTGCTGAGGTTGCTGTTTGAGTTTTTGGTGTTCTATAGATGCTTGGTCACATAAAATAGCAACGTTTGACTGTATGTCCTAGAAAGGATTTGAGATAACACTGAAGTGTTTAATCTGTGTCAGATGTATAATAAGCTCTGAAAAAATTCTGAGTTGTGTGCAGAATATATATATAAATATCATTGCATTTGATTTAGGTGACTAGTCAGGACTTCTAAGATGTGTCCTTCAGAGGGGTGCAAGAGTGTGTGGGATACAGTGTGGTTGATGAGTGAAGTGCTTTGTTGAGGTTCTCTTTTCCTTCTGAGCCCCTAAAACTTGCCTTTGAGCACAGGCATCCAGTGGTGGCTTAGAAAGTTTGGAAAGTACAGAACATCACTTGCCTCCCTCCATTTCCCAAGGGCCTGAGGAGAGGGAAAAGCCACAAGGCTGATAGAAAGTGGGAGAATTCTAATTTGGTTTTCTTGGAAGTCCAATTATGTGTGTACAGATATTTCTCTTGTAAGGATCTCTATCTTTTTTTTTTCTTTTCTTATAAATTTTCTCTTTTCTTATAAATCCACAATTTTTTAAAAAAATTAAACTTACATTTTGAGATAAAGATCCCTATGCAGTTATAATACATAACACTATGCTACCATGCACCTTGTACACAGTTCCTTTAATCTTATAGAATTGTTGAATAATTTTACAGCCAGGTTATTGGCATTGATTCTTTCAAAACATAGAGCATCTCCATCACTACAAAGATCCCTCTTCTTTCCCTTTTATAGCCATACCCACCTGCCTCCTTCTGTAGTCCCTGGCAGCCAATAATCTGTTCCCATTTCTGTAATTTTGTTCTTCTAAGAATCTTATGTAAATGGAATTAGGTAGTATATGTAAATTTGGAAATTTGCTTTTTCATTTATCATAATCTTCTCAAAATTCTTCCATGTTGTCATATTATTTATATATGAGTAGTTTCCAGGTATTATTCATTTGATAAAGGGAATCTGGAATATACCCATATATAGGTTGGCACTGGGACTTGAGCATCTCATGTCATGGGCTATTCTAAATAAATAAAACTGCTAAGGAAATTCACGTACAGATTTTATCTAAAATAGAACTTTTCATTTCTTTGAGACAAATGCCCAAGAGTCCAGTTTCTGGGTCTTTTATTTGTCCATGTTTAGTTTTTGTTGTTGTTGTTGGTGGTGGTGATGTTTTATTTGTTTTTGGTACCAAGAATTAAACTCAGGGACACTCAACCACTGAGACACATCCCTAGCCCTTTTTATATTTTATTTAGAGACAGGGCTCGCTGAGTTGCTTAGAGCCTTGCTAAGTTGCTGAGGCTGGCTTTGAACTCATGATCCTCCTGCCTCAGCCTTCCAAGCCACTGGGATTACAGGTGTGCCCCACGGTGCCTGGCCCATGTTCAGTTTTATAAGAAACCTCCAAACTGTTTTCCAAAGTGGAAGGGCTGCTTTGCATTTCTACCAGCAAGATATGAATGACCTAGTATCTGCATAATCACCTGCACTTGATGTTGTTGCTATTTTTCATTTTAGCTATTCTGAAAAGTGTGTGATGATATCTCATTGCAGCTTTAATTTGTACTTCTCTAATGTCTAATGATGTTGGTCTGTTTGCCATTTTGTAAATTCTTTTCAATGAAATGTTTGTTTGATTCTTTGCCCAAATTCTAATTGAATTATTTTGTCATTTAAAAAGAATATTTTTACTTGTAGATGGATCCAATACCTTTATTTTCTTTATTTATTTTTATGTGGTGCCAAGGATCGAACCCAGTGCCTCACATGTGCTAGGAAAGTGCTCTATCACTGAGCCACAACCACAGCCCTTGACATTATTTTTTTAACGGTTCAGTTTTGAGAGTTCTTACATATTTTCAATATCAGTCCTTTGTCAAACACGAAGTTTAGCAATACTTTTTCTCTTAGTAGTCTTTCACAAAGCAAATTTAAAATTTTTGATAAGTCTAATTTCTCATTATATTTTTTTATAGATTATGCTCTTGGTATAATATCTAAGAATATTTTTTTCTAAGAATCTTTTACTGGCCATAGATACTCGGTATTTTCCTCCTATATTTTTTTTCTAAAGATTTAAAATTTTAACTTTTACATTTAAGTCCGTGTTCTGTTTGATCCATTTTGATTTAGGCCAGGTTCAACATTTTGCCTGTGCACACCCAGCTGCCCTCTCACCCTTGTTGAGTTGGCCATCCTTTCTCTCTTGTGTCGCCATTGAACCTCGGTCAGGTATCAGGCACATTATGTGGGACTTCTTTGCAACCATCCAAGTGTCCCTTTGCTCTTTAGTGTTCAGTCCCACTTTCTTTGTTGAACTCAGCTCTGCTGCTTTTAAACTCTGGCTCCCTAAATTAGTTATCTAATTTCTCTGTGTTTCAGTGTTCTCATCTAAAAAAATGGGGATAATTATAATTTTGACTTCATAATCTGCTGGGAGAATTAAACAAGGCAATACATGTAAACACCTTAGCACAGTGCCTTGAACATTGTAAGCATTCATAAATTTTAGCTCTTATTATTAATTAAAATTAAAAGAAAAAGTTACTGTGTGTGTGTGTGTGTGTGTGTGTGTGTGTGTGTCTATATCTGTGTACCAGTGGTCTTTGTGTGTGCTTGTATCTCTGTTTGCCTTGCAAGAACCTATCCTGTCTACTAGACATCCTTAATGTCAGGGTCATATAATCTGAGTAATGAATCAGTAAGAGCCAGTGGCCCAAAGCAAACATGAAATACTATTGAAAGATTTAGGATCTTGAGTCTGAGTCAGATGCTCCCTGGGGATGACACTTAGCAGCATTTAGAACACAGAGAAAAGGGAAACACATAAGATCCCAGAGAGATATTGAATGTGACACACTTACTCCAAACTGGCTTTTCCCCTCCAGAACCGTCTACAGGCAAAGATTATACATAATGGTTATGTGGACCCGGACAACCTCATGTTTACAGATATCAGAATCTTGGGAATGGACAAAGAGCCAAGTAATTTTATTGTGTCTTTAAATAATGTCGCCACCTCCATTTCAAGTGTTGTCTACAGTGCTTCAACAAAGGTGAGAGATTGTTCCATCTCATAGGTCTTTGCTGAAAGCCCTGTTCTGAGATTCTGAAGAATAGTCCCTTTTTGTTTTTTTGACTTTGGGCAGTCAGATAGGACACTGGCTTGAGACAGCCACCGCATCACAGGCAGAGTGCAGGGGAAACTTTTGCATGCAAATCCAAACCCTACCACTTCACTTACATTAGGGTCTGAAGAAGATATGAGAGTTGGAACCCTAAGAAAGGAGACAACTCTTTTCTAGACATTTAGAACTAGACAGGCTGAGCCCAGATAAGACCCAGGGAATCACTTTGCACACATTAGCCTAGTACTGGAGAGTATTTACACAGCTACTCCTGGTGTGCCCACCTGTTACTATGACACCATCCCTAACTTTGTCCACATAATTCTACCTCATCTCATTTGTCACTGGAGTCTTCTTTGTCTTCCCCAGGTGGTGACCATCACTGATCTCAAGGGACTGGTTCTGGGACAAGAATTCTCTATACAGTGGGATCTTGTAGTCAATGATCTGGAGAAGTTCAACTGCTATCCTGAGGATCCTACTGCCTCTGAGGAGAGTTGCAGACAGCGGGGATGCCTTTGGGAGGTATTGAGCAAAGGCAAGCTCCCATGTTGACCAGGAACTTAGAGAAATTGCCCCACAAGTCATTAAGCACCAAGAAAACACTTTAAAAGTTTATGGCCTGAAGAGTACCATGACAGTGTGCCCATATGCATCTGTCAACTCTTCAGGATACGTATTTTCCTCAGATATCCAGAATCAGAAGAAACTCATGGCTATTCTGATTGTTTCCCCAGCCATGTCATTCAAAACCCCATTTTATATGATAGTGTCCAGTGGGTTTGTATCATTCACTGGGTATTTTAAGTGAATTTATTTTTCTTCTATTAGAGAATCCAAAGAAGAAGGGTTAAGGGAAGGTGGGTCCTTTCATATGAACAATGGAGAGAATGAAAGCCTGAGAGAGTTAAGGATTCCTCAAGATGGGATTTAGGGCAGTAAGGACACTGGGAACAGACCCTGCCTCAGGGTTCCAGGCTCCAGACTGGGCTTCCTGCTGTTCTTGAAGGATTCACTCATTACAGAAGGCTGGGGCGTGTGTGTGTGTGTGTGTGTGTGTGTGTGTGTGTGAGAGAGAGAGAAATGAGTGTACCTGTGTTCATTGAGTAGGGCTGCTTTAACAAATTCATGCAAACTGATTGACTTAGAACAATACATACTTATTTCCTCCTAGTTCTGGACTCTAGAAGTCTGAGATCAAGATGTTAGCGGGGTTGGCTCCTTCTGTGGGATGTGATGTCGGTTCTGTTCCATGATTTACGCCTTGCTTCTGGTGTCAGGCTGGCAATATTTGGCATTTCCTAGCTTGCACATGCTTCACTCAATCTCTGACCTCATGTTCACACCTGTGTCTAAATTTCCCCTCCTGATCACCAGTCATACTGAATGGGAACCTATCCTAATGACCTCTTCTGAACTTGGATCATGCACAAAGACCCTGCTTCCAACTAGTCACATTCATAGTACCAGGGCTTGGGGATTATCTTTGGGGGGCTCATGATTCATCAGATAAGAAAGGGCAAAGCAGTCTGAGACTTGGTCTGTGCTAACCAGCTTCTTTAGTAATTAGAGTCTCAGAGTATGGTGTCTGAGGCTGACCAAGAGTGTCTCCTGTTGTAGCCCACAGCTACTCCTGGTGTGCCCACCTGTTACTATGACACCATCCCTAACTATGCTGCCAGTAACATTCAGTACCTGCCCACGGGCATCACCACCGACCTTACCCTCCTGGCGGTCCCTGCATCTACCCGGGCAGCGGCATCTCCACCATCACCAGCAGCAGCCACTGTCTCTAATCGTTTCTCTGAAAAGATCAGCCTCCTCAGACTGAGTGTGACCTACCATACAGAGAGCATGCTGCAGATAAAGGTAATTCCCATGCTGACAATCCTGGTTTTCAAGGTGAGTTCTTAACCTACAGGTGTGTGTAGATGAAAGTCATGAAAAGACTTTTCATCCAAATCTCTCTGTTCATGATGCAAGAGCTGAGAAGGCCTTAGAGAGACAAAGGTCAGAAGTAAATAACAGAGGCAGGGTGTGACCTTAGATCCATCAGGCTTGTGAATTTCCTAGAATAATGAATTCTCTAGATCATAAATATTCTCAAAAAATTCTTAGCCCTGAAAACATGAATTTACTTTGTGGTTAATGCATATGAGAGGCACCAACTGGCTTCCAGAATTTCTAGATATTTCTTTAATAGTGGCTCTCAGACTTTAACATGCATCAGAATCACCTGCAGATGTTAAAACCCAGGCTGCTCAGCCTCACCGTACGGTTTCCAGTTCAGCATTCTGGGCTGGCCCAGCCTGAGCATTTGCATTTCTAAGTTCTCCAGCAATGCTGACTGATGCTTCAGGTAAAAGGGCCACACTTTGAGACCCACTCTTGTCCTTTACTTACCAGAAATACAATGAGAACCAAGTTTGTTTTCTAGTAGGGGTATTTTTTAAAAACTGTTTGAAACACACACACACTCATACAAGTAAATTAGCTATTTTATTTAACCAATGTTCTAAAATATATATCAGTTCATTTTGAAATCCAAGTTTAATTATGGAGATATATTTCACAACATTTTAATTAAGTCATCAAAATCTGGTATGTGTTTGCACTTGTGGTGAATCTTGATTTAGACTCATGCATTTCTGGTGCGCAAAAGCCACACATGGCTGGTGGACACAGGCTTGAGCAGCTCTGCCCTTGACATTGCTCCTCTCACTTGAGTGTGTCCTCCATCACTGTGGGCATCCTGTGAACCTGAAGGTTCTGACCAGCAGATCTGGGACAGAGGCTGAGTCTGAATTCCTAACAAGCTCCCAGGCAATGCCACTGTTTTTTGGTTTAAGAAACAGAGTTTTGAAAAGTAGGGCTTTAGGAAAAGCTTTACTGAAGTCCAGGCTGTGGGCTAATAGCAGCATGGGGAGGGGATGGTCGCCATGGTGGTGATGGACCCTGTCTTGCATGCATGCTGCAGTCCTCTTGTTTTTTTTCCTCACACCAATCCTGTTAGATGAGTAGGAATGAATAGAGGGTACAAAGGAGAAACCTGAAGGATTGAGAAGGCATGCAGCATCTGGAAGCTCAAGTAGTAAAGAGGTCTAGTTCCCAGCACACACATGCAATCACTCACATACAGTCTTGAAGTTACATGCACATGTATGTTCATATAGCACACATCCTAAGTACATATACACACTCTACCCACAAGATTCTATAATCTTAGATTACAAGTTCTCTCGAGTGGGTATTATTGAGGCATTTTGGAAGCTCAGAATCTGCCACAGTAGATAAGGAGGCCTCACATCTGCTTGCTTGGGACATTCAGTGCCTCCTGATGTGGTTCAAACTGGTCAAAAACAAACAAACAAACAACATTGGAAATGAATTCTGTGGGCAAACATGAGGGGTATCAGGTCTCAGACTCCATCAGGAAGAGTTTTTTATTTTTCTCTCCTTGCCAGATCTATGATCCCACTAATAAAAGGTACGAGGTCCCGGTACCACTGAACACACCACGTTCACCGCTTGTCTCCCCTGAAAACTGCCTGTATGAAGTCAGGGTTCAGAACAATCCCCCTGGAATCCAGATTCGACGCAAAAGTTCCCAAACTGTGATGTAAGTGCTATTTATTGGCTTTAATCAGAGTGTCTGATGGTAATTATGGTGTTGCTAATTAAGGCAAGTAAAATATTAGTCTCAGAGACTCTTTATGATGTGTGTGTGTGTATTTGTTAAAGAGTATGTCAATTTCCTCTTACTTCATTAGGGAATTTATTTTTATGTTAGTCATTAACTCAGAAAGATTAATCAACCTTAGATTTAAAAAGCCACAAGTGTTATTCGAATTCAAAGAAAGAGATATCTTTCCTATTTGTTACTCTTGTTAAGTAGAACAGAAAACTTAAATAAGTATAACAAATAACCTCAGATATGTCTGTTCTGTATTATGCTTCATTAAGAAATAATAATTGAAGAGGCAGGAGAGAGGAAAGAGGTGGGTATGAAGAGAGAAATGGACTTATATCATCTTTGGTTCTATAGACACCACAGACTTCAAGCATTTTTATGATATTAAGTGTGAAAAGAATTGTGGATTGTCATCTCTCATCACTTATCCTGATGCTTGAGGTCCAGGCTTTGCCCAGGGTGAGGCCCCCCCATCCCAGCAAAGGTTATCACTTGTATGTGCATTTGTGTTTTTTCCTATGTGTGGCTTCTGCTGTCTTTGACTATGTATCTGATTTTCTCTGTTTTCATCTTCAGTGAGTTCTCTGGTCAATCTAGAGAAGTTATTCCAAGAGTGTCAATTTTTTTCTATCCAAAAGTACTTTTTAGATCTCATTCATTTATTCACATTTGCTGGAATGCCGGGCACTGAGAACTGGACATAAAGAGATGAATGAGACCTGGTACTTGCCCTCAATGAGCCCATAGTTCTGAGAAGGAGCTCTCAGTCTTGCAAAGCACAGAATTAAAATGCAAATATGGAACCTTGGTACTGAGTCATGGCTATTGTTATGACCTGGTCCTTTTATAACATTTGAACCTGGATCTTGATGTGCAATGATTCAAGAGGCTTCTGAATCATCTAGGCATCCCATTTGCTCTGCCTGAGATCTGCAGCTCAGCTTGGAGGTCTGCCTTTGTGTTGCAGTTGGGATTCTCAACTCCCGGGCTTCACCTTCAACGACATGTTCCTTTCCATTTCTACTCGCCTCCCTTCTCAGTACATCTATGGTTTTGGGGAAACTGAGCACATGACTTTCAGAAGAAACATGAACTGGACAACCTGGGGAATATTTGCTCGGGATGAGCCACCAGCGGTAAGGACAAAAATGAAATTAGCAGTTTCTCCTTCGGCAAATTTACTTTTAATTCTTAGGCCAGTAAATGAGGTTCCATTTATCAGCCTCATCTTTTTAGCTCTTGGTTGTAAGGTTACAAGAGGCCACAGGTCATGCTCTTTTATCTGTAAAACAAACAAACTCATAACATATATTTTTCCACCCGTCTCCCATGGATTACAAATTTTATTTCACAAACTTTTATTTAATATATTCAATGTTTGAGCACATTGCTAGATGCTTATCTGTAAATTTAATAAGATTCTGTCTTTGCCCTTCAAAAGTTTATAGACAGACAGATTGGTGTAGAAATAATGATAGCACAGTGTAGTGAGTGCTGTGATAGAATTGTGTAATAATAAGCCACACATGTTGGTGCATATTTACTTGGAAGGCTGAGGAAGGTGGGTCACAAGTTCAAGGCCAGTTTAGGAAACTTAGTGAGACCCATCTCAAAAGTAAAAAATATAAGAGACTGGCGAGGTAGCACAGTGACAGAGCACTTGCTCAGCATATGCAAGGCCTTGGGTTTAATCCCCAGTACCACAAGGAAAAACAAAGAATTATGTAATATTCAATAAAGGTGACAGAGAGGGGGAGGACATAGGTTTTAGGTTGGGGTGGAAAGGAAGGTCAAAGAAGGTTGTACAAAGGATATAACGCTGTATCAAATCTTTTACATGGAATATGAGTTTGCTGTTTGGATTATGATCTGGAAACTATTGGATTTTTATCTTTATATTACTCTCATGACTTTCAATTACCAGTATAAGAAAAATTCCTATGGTGTTCACCCCTACTATATGGCCTTGGAAGAAGATGGGAATGCCCATGGAGTGCTCCTGTTGAACAGCAATGCCATGGGTAAGACAGGGGCGTGCTCCCCGGGCACCACCACAAACAACCTGACCACTCCATTGTCATCTGGGAGATTACTAGAAACGAATAAGTTAAGGGGCAAGGAAAATGGCATGGACAAACTGACCTTCCATTCATTTATTCACTTATTCAATACTTAAAAATTGTTCCAGAATAGGCATTAATTGTACCATTTGACTAACTGTGGTCCCTTATTTTGCTGTGACACTTCAGTTCCTTATTGCAGGTGATATAAACTGTTGAGTGTCATATAATGGGGTAGATGCAGTTTGGGGTACTGCAGGCCCATCTCTGACTCCAGTGGACAAGGGAGGACATTCTAGAGGAGATAGACATGAAGGAAGGAGAGTGAAGACAGCACATTTTAGAGCATCTCTCTCTCTGGGTGTCTTACAAGCTCCTCATCTGTCTCTTTATTTTAAAATTTTTACAGATATGACTCTGCAGCCCACTCCTGCCCTGACATACCGCACTGTAGGAGGGATTTTGGACTTTTATTTAGTTTTGGGGCCAACCCCCGAACTGGTAACTCAGCAATACACTGAGGTTGGAAGCCATTCTATCCATTGATATATCACTAAATATTTATTGGGTATTGTTACCATGTTTTCAGTACTGAAATGGGTCAGTCTTTTTCTTTTTACCCTGGGGTGTAAGTCAGATTTTACTAATATGGATGCTAAATGCATATTAATATTACAGGTCTCTCAATTGCTTGCTAAATAGCCTATCTTAAGAATCTCAGATCAGTAATAACCACCACATTCTCAGGTTTCACAGTGTAATAGAATATAGGGAAATGTTAATTACAATATTTCTAGCATTCTTCATCTCTAGGGTTGTTCTACATTTATTTGATTTCCCTATTTTTTTTTTTTTTTGAGGGTGGCCTCAGGTCAGACAGTAGTCAGTAGAAATTTTCAAATTATTTCAAACAAAAGTCAACTATCTTTTCTTCCTTACAAAGTTACTTGGATCTATTTTTTATTTTTTTAATTGACATAACATTTGCATACATTTATGGGGTATGGTATGATAATTTGGTATATGTATACAATGTGTAATGATCTTATCAGGGTAATTAGCATTCTTCTATTCTAGTTGATTGGTCGGCCAGCAATGACTCCATATTGGGCTCTGGGATTCCAGCTGAGTCGCTATGGATACCAGAATGATTCTGAAATCGCCAGTCTGCATGATGCAATGGTGGCAGCCCAGATCCCCTATGTATGAAACCCTCCCTCAACCTCTGGGTTTAGCTATGGGATTCTGTGACTAATTGTCTATTGAAAACAGCTTCATTGAAATTATTACTGTGGCTACTTCAGCATAAATCCTGTAGCTGTGGAGCTAGTTCTGTGTGAATACATTGTTTTTTAAAGTCTTTGCCTGCTGCCCTTTTGAGTCGAGGTTCAAAACTAAGAGTTGCATGGATCCTTTGGCCACTGGTGGAATGAGTGGAGGGTATTGGCACCCACTGACTCGCTGGAACATCATGTAGTGGCCAAGGCAGTCTTAGAAGCGGGGGTCTGTGTGAAATGGATATGAAGTGGCAATAGGCAAGGAAGTGATTAAAATGAAGCCTTTGCTTTCTTTAAAACACATACACATATCCTAAGTACCTACCTAGTTCCACAGGAAAGCCCTGAGAAGTGTGGTCAACTGGATTCCACAAACAGTGCACTCCTTCTCTACTGATTAGTTTTCTACCACTCATTGTCTTTATTGGCTTTCAGTTCACCTCGGAGATTTTTAAAGGCAATTAACAACTGGAAGATGAGAATAAAGTGCTATGATATTCCCATCAATAATAATTTGAGGGCTGGGGCTATAGCTCAGTAGCAAAGCACTTGCCTAGTGTACATGAGGCACTGGGTTCGATCCTCAGCACCACATAAAAATTAACAAATAGAATAAAGGCATTCTGTCCATCTACAACCACAAAAAAATTTTTTTAAAAAATTGACACATGTCCATGCTTAACTTTTATTATAAACTTATTAAACAGAAATTTTAAAATATAGAAAAATCACAAGATGAAAAAGTTCATAGATCTGCCTCACCAAAGCAATCATGCTATTTATATATATAAATCCTATGAATTATATGTCTTTAAAATTATATACAATATATTATATAAGTCATATATAATATATATGTATATTGTATATAAATTATATGTATATAATACACATTAAATTAGTGAATAAAAGACATTTATTTCAGTGAAGGGAGACAACCAATAAATAAATATTAGAGAATGCTAAATCTTTCTTGAATATATAGATATTCTATTTATAATATAGTAGACACGTGCTGATATATATGTATATATATTTTAAAGTAAAATATGTATTCTAAGTTGATTTAATTTGATAAGGTTTACTGTAGGAACAAAAGAAACTTAGATATGCAACCTTTTTTTGTTTATTAGGGAAGTCTCACTTTCTTGAACACTTCCACTGGCTTTTTGTATGATAGGCTCGCCAAATTTGAGATTTGAAGAGTGGGTAAGACATAAATTGAGGGAAGGAAAGGAAAGCAAGTTCCTGTTGGGGGCACAGAAGAAGAAAGTGGGGACAGGTGAATTGTGAGCGGGAATCAGAAAGCAAGGTCAATCAACATAATTGCAAAGTCAGTGTAGTGGGTATTGAGATGGGAAATGATAAGGGCTGGGGCTGGGGGAGCAAGCAGCAGGGTCTGGAGCCTGGAAGAGCAGTTAGTGTGCCCTGCAGCTACCACTGCAGGAGCCTCAGTATCCACTCCTTCTTGTAGGACGTCCAGCATGTGGACATCGATTACATGGACCGGAAGCTGGACTTCACCCTCAGCCCCAGCTTTCAAAACCTCGGTGTCCTGATAGAGCAAATGAAGAAGAATGGCACCAGATTTATTCTCATTCTGGTAGGTGTGAAGGCAGATTGCATGCTTCTTTTTGTTTCTGTGTTCACGATTCAAAAATTAAACCCCTGGGAAGAACTGGCAAAAAGGTAAAAGAAACCCCCCCCCCCCCATCTTGGCCTCTTCCTGTGAGTCTTTAATTATTATCTTTTAAAAGTTTTGAAAAGCCAATAAAGAAGGAAAGAATAGGTAAAAAAATGCATTGTAAGAGGTGATACTTCGTCATATTTATTATTTTTCATTGCTGAATGCCACTAGGATTTAATTAATCAGTACTTTTTTGGGGAGAGAGTTAGGACAACTGCAGGCAGAAACACTGAATATAGGAAAGAATAAAAGGGTCTCACTATTTCAGGCTTCAGGATGAATAGCTATAGCTCAGTCTCATTTTTAGGAAACTGCAGGGGGTTAAAAAATCTCTTCTACTGTATCATCATTCAGCAACCATGAGTCTTAGGGGACCCATTTCTCTTTTATTAAGCCCACAAAAAACGGAGGTAAGATCCAGAATGCCAACTTATTATTTTACATTGGAAGTTATATCTTGGTAAATACAGAAGTAACTACCCACAAAGGATTTCCTCCTTCTAGCTTCCAGAGATCAGAGCATGATTCTTGTTCATTTTAAAATTTAAGTATTTACAAAACATTGGCTACTTGAAAATCACTGTTTTCTAAAGAGTGCGTGTGTTTTAAATTAATGAATTAATGGCATTTATTCTAGTAAAGGGAGACAGCCAATAAAAAACTATTAGGAAGGTAATTACAGATAATGTTGATTTACATGGCAATTGGGAAACAGCGTAATATAGAGAGTAACTAGGTAAGGTATGAGATGGGCTGATGAATATCAATGTCCATCTCAAATGGCCGCACCATAGAATAGAATGCAGAAGTTCAATTTCTTAAGGAGCACTGCTGTTAGACTCTGGAAATGCTATAAATTGTCTCTCTCCAATTGAGGATAAATTATCTCCAGGATTTGTTTTCCAAACATTAGCACATCTTTATTTCTCAATAATTTTATGGAGAAATATTAACAAAATCTTTTAATTCTTAGGTCTCTTTTTAAAAAATATTAATTTCTCTGTTTATTGGAAAAGTCATATATGTCATATTATATTTCAATTTTTATGATTTTTTTTCCCTTCTTTAGTTATGGCTCTGGGTGTTTACTTTCTATAATATGTAAAAGATTCTTGCTCCCTTTGAAAGAGGTCATCCTTTGTAAGGGTCATCTATCTTACTTTTGGGTCCCGGTGGCAACTTCCATCTTAATTGGTTATGTAATATTCCCAGTAGATATGTCAAATTATCAATGCTTTTTTATTTATCTAATTTTATTTTGGTCCATCATTTTTTTCTGCACTAAATTGTCAAAGTTTGGGAGGGGACTTTCCTTAGGGACATTTTTCTCACCTTTGCAGTCTTAAATCCTGTCACTGCAGGACCCAGCCATTTCTGGCAATGAGACACAGTATCTCACCTTCACCAGAGGACAGGAAGACAACGTGTTCATCAAATGGCCCGACACCAATGACATTGTCTGGGGAAAGGTGAGGCTTGGGGAAGGGGCTATAATTAATACACAGCACTATGTCTTGATTAAAAGGTGCTCTCAATAAATCATACAAAAATATATCATTTAATTAATAAATTATGAATGATGCTGATGCTGATTAGCTTAATACACATTAATAAGACCAAGGTCACAGCTCTAATCCTCTAGATATTGAATACCAGATTATTGCCTGGATATGTTCTGATGTCCCACCCTTTATGTATTCCAGCTAGTCATTTAGTAGTAAACATTAGGAATCCCGTAGAGAGAGAAAGACTCTGAAATCTGTGTCTCCCAGCCACCTAAACTCAAAACTCACAACACCTTTGACTTACGATGCTTACTCAACCTCTCATTTAAATGAATCACCAAGTCCTATAGATTCTTGTTTTTTCTTTGACCCCTTGAATTCCTTTTCTGTGGCCTCAATCCTCATCCTCATTTATCTGATTTATAGCAGCAGTGTTTTATGTGAACTTCCTGACCCACATGACAGTAGCTTTTGCCAGGTTCCAACTCTGTTCCTTAATTTTGCTATGCCACTGCCTACAGTTCTGGATACATGCCTTTCTCACTTTGAATATAGCCTTCTCGGTGTCCCCAGATAATATCTGCACCCCAAGACGAACTCAGATCTTACTTCCTTTTTTTTTTTTTTTTTTTTTTGAGAGAGAGAGAGAGAGAGAGAGAGAGTTTTTAATATTTATTTTTTTAGTTTTTGGCAGACACAACATCTTTGTTTGTATATGGTGCTGAGGATCGAACCCGGGCCACACCCATGCCAGGCGAGCACGCTACTGCTTGAGCCACATCCCCAGCCCAGATCTTACTTCTTGAGAAGTACTCCATAACTGTTTCAGTTGCTGTTTTCCCTTTCATGTGTCATTCCAGAGAGAGTATAGCATACCATGTAGCACTTATATATTACTCTCTGTGAACTCTTGGAAAAAACAGGCAGTATTTACTGCTATAATCTCAGTAGATATAGATCCTCATAATAAGTGCTCAGTAACTGTTTCCTCGTTGAATTAATTAATCAATGTATATAAAGTCCTGCTAATTACAGATGAAATTGGTTGATATATGAAAGTTTTTTTTAAACACTAAGTACATTTGTGGGTGTCCAAAAGTTATGGTATTACTTAGAAGTATTGAGACAGAGTTTATGGCTGTGAATGTAAATCAATCTTATTCTTAGAGTCAACCTTAACATTTATTTTTATAAAGGGAATTTTGTTATACACAAAAGTAAAAGGCAGACCAGACCATGGAGTAATTATTTGAAAGATGGTTTCTCAGAAGACACATCTAAAATGAATTGGGTTACTTATTAAGTTAAAAATAACATGAAAACTTATGGAATGAAACAAAAAGATCTGAGCCTAACAGGATTTCACCTAGCAGGATCATCTATTGATTTGTATTTACAATTTAATTTATGGCCAAGATGCCCAGCATTTGTGAAGATGCATGTCATGAAAGTCTAACATATGAAACACCTCATGGTCTGTTTGCCATGACTTAAAGGTTTCAATATTTCCTCTTTTTCTCTAGGTTTGGCCAGAGCTGCCCAATGTAAATGTGGATGAATCCCTTGACCATGAAACTCAGGTCAAGGTACAGTCATACATGGATTTTGGTCTACATTGCCCTACATATCTGGATACTTATTTGTTTTATTCTTATTCTTTTATTGTTAGATAAATAGCTTATGCTCTGGTTAAATGGCTTTAATGCCAGTGTGCTTGTCTGGTGGTATTTTTTTGCAGAAGGAGATCCTCAAATGAGAAACCTAAAAAATAGCTAAAATGGAAAAGTATAGAAGAAAATTACCAGGGAGTTCCTTACATGTATGCCTTTAATGGATTGCAATTTGAATCTAGTGTTGCTTGAAAAATAAGGAACCAAAGTCCAGAATGCTTTCTCGGAAGAGTATCACTTATGAACAAATACCCTTTACAGGTTAATGAATTACCTACATACCAAAGCAAACACTAGCCAGTTGAAAGGAGCAAAGGACTTGGTCTCAGCCCTTGCTCCCACGTCAGCCAGGCACCCACTAACCCTTCTACTGTGCAGCTTGCTTCTCCTTGGATTATGGGGTCCTCCTGCATTTCATTTGATGAGTCAAATGAGTCATGGATCTCTAAATTTACATTGTTTAGAGGCTGACTATCGGTTTTCTAGTTGCCATGACTAATTTTCTAGTCATAAAGGAAGTTCTATGTTTAAAAGCTATCTAACCCTTTTCTAAGAAAATTAAGAATGAACGCATCCTTTCCCCAACTGTGTGTCCACTGTAAACTTTGCAACACCACCAGCAGCAGAATTGAGGTTAAATCAGACGCTGAGCTGGACAGGCTCAAAAGCCTGCTCATCTCCCTTTCCTGTTCCCAGGATTCCCCTTCTTGGACATGCATGACCTCACTATGACAATGCATGTCACTCTTACAGATGTACAGGGCCCACGTTGCTTTCCCTGACTTCTTTCGTAACAGCACAGCTGCATGGTGGAAGAAAGAGATAAACGAGCTCTATGCTAACCCCAGAGAGCCAGGGAAGAGCTTGAAGTTTGATGGACTGTCGATCGTAAGTGCACCCTCAGTGGTTACTCTTTAGAATGTTCATATTCAAAACTTGGGGAAGCAATTCCGAGACTAGAAGAAGCAGGGCACTGGAACCAGAGGCATGAAAGGAAGGGTGATGGTACAGAATCTAGGTCCTGGGAATAGGAGTAGCAGAGATTACTGTGGACCTGCCCAGGGTCATGTCTTCTGGAGGAAATGGGAGCCCATCGAGGAGACGTGCTACTGCGGGAGATGCCAGGGCATGAGGGAGAGGGAGCGGTGCCCTTGTCTCTTACTCTCAACCCTCCATCTCTTGCTGGTGCTTCCTGTTGGCTAAACTGACCTAGAAGCCCTGAAGCCTGTCCTGCAACACAGGGCAGAACTGGGGACAGGCAAGGCATAAATCTATGAGCAAAGAGACATTTACCCTGAAGGAATAGCTTAAAAAGCCCTGAGTGAAGGGCTTCTGGAGGTGTCTCTGGGACATGTGTCCAAGGGCCCCTCTATTTATGTTTTTCTAAGGATAGGAATCTTATCAATGTCATGATTTCCTTCCCCTCTATCTAGTGGCCTGAAAACCTAAGCAGTTACCAGGTCAGCTAGGAAGAGCTGCTCAAGTCTAGGTCAGGCTGCAAGAAGCTTGTGATTCACAAAACACAAACCTATAAGCCCACTGTCTGCCTGGGGGCCTCCCTGACCACTTGAACCTTCAGGGTAAATAGGCACAGAGCAGACAGGTGAGAATGCATAAATGAACCCAAACAGGCAAATCAGACAGTGAAGAGATATAGATAACTCTGAGAAACAAGAGATTCTGATAACTGTGAAGTATTTGTTCCCATTGAAAGAAAGCTGCATAATTCAAAATAATGAATAGTTCTCCAAATACTTGCCTTTGCCTTTAGTATGTTCCATATAAGATAACATAACATACAAAACTTTAACTTCTCTATTTATAAAGTAGACAACTTTTGCCAAAATATGATTTTATTTCCAGACTGCTTTCTGAATCATATACAACTTTTCAGGAATGTGTCTACTGCAGAAAGTGAGATATGTCTCCTTGTGTTTGGTGCACGTGAATATCAGAATTAGTCCAAGCTATTGGCTAAGAAAAAGGAGAGAGAGATCGTAGTGATCCCTGACTGCAGATACAAAGTGAATAATTTGTGGGTAGACAAACAAAGATGTGCTTCTCCTGTGGTATAGATGAATCAAATTATTTCCTTAGGTTCTGTATTCAGCATAGTCTCAATATTTTTGCTGTTAGGTTACCACTTCATAAATTTAAAAATGCCAAGTGAGCTGGAAGGAGTTTAACACTCCACAGAAGCAGATGTGGACTCTTAAGTCCACTTTAGTCAATGCCAGGATTAAGCAGAGTCCCCTGAGCCACTACAGAGACAAAGCTTCAGTGCAGGCCGGGCATCTTCTGCAGCTAGTGTCCTCTAGGTGAAGGCCATACAGACCTGACGTGATGGAATCTTCTCTTGCTAACTTAATTCAGGATATGAATGAGCCATCAAACTTTGTGGATGGATCTGTTGGGGGCTGCCGCAGTGAAGTTCTTAATAACCCACCCTATATGCCAGGTAGGTAAAATGTTACTTTATCAAATTATTGCTCTGTTCAAACACTGAAGATTTCCCTCTTACTGTCAAAGTAAAGCCTAATTTTGTGTGTGTGTGTTTGTGTAGAAATAATGACATGACATTGTATGAAAGAAACCAAGCAATGCGTTTTATTATGTTGACAATGGTGAACTGAATGCTAAACTTTTAAAAATTGTTCTTTTTAGATATATATGAGAAAAATGTTCTTTTTAGATATACATGAATAATATTTGGACATATTATACATACATGGAGTATAACTTCCCTTATTTGTCATTGTACATGATGTGAAGTTACACTGGATGTATTCTAATATAAGAATGTAGGAAAGTTAAGTCCGACTCATTCCACTGTCTTTCTTTCCCCTCCCTTTCCTTCATCCCCTTTGTCTAATCCAGTGAATTTCTATTCTCTGCCCCCCCTCCATTATGTGTTAGCATCCACATATCAGAGAGAACATATGGCCTTTGGTTTATTGGGATTGGCTTATTTTGCTTAGCATGATAGCCTCCAGTTCCATCCTTTTACCAGCAAATGCCATAATTTCATTCTTCTTTATATCTGAATAATAATCCATTGTGTATATATACCACATTTTCTTTATCCATTCATTTGTTGAAGGGCACTTAGGTTGGTTCCGTAGCTTACCTATTGTGAATTGAGCTGCTATAAACATTGATGTGGCCATGTCACTATAGTATGCTGGTTTTAAGTCCTTTGGGTATAGACTGAGGAGTAAGATGTCTGGGTCAAATGATGGTTCCAATCCAAGTTTTCTGAGGAATCTCCACATTGCTATACATAGTGGTTACATCAATCTGCAGTCCCATCAGTAATGTATGACTATACCTTTTCCCCCCACATCCTTGCCAACATTCATTGTTACTTGTATTCTCGATAATTGCCCCAAATGCTAAACTTTTCAATAAACCCCCCCCCTCTCAATTAGTAAATGAAAATCTAGTCCTGAACTTTCAGTCTGTGTTTGCAGATAGTTCATGAAAGATACCCCTTGGTAGTTCCAGAGTGCAAACTGAAATATGATGTTGGGATCAAACACTTCTCAAATGATTGAATCCTCTCATCTTACAGAGGCCCCAAAAGGAAGTGAGTTCCTAAGAGCAGTGTACCAGAAATTCATGAAGCAGAATCTGGGACACAGGTTTCTTTGTGTCTAGGTTGCTGCCATGCAGAGCCGTGTCCGTTAACTCAATTATTCTTTCATTCAGTTTCTCCTTCCTCCCACATGTATATGACAGGCAAAAGCTGGTGAGATTGAGCAAAACAAGATCTATTCCCTTGAGAACATTACCATCTAGTGGAAAACCCAATCCTTTCACCCAAGGAGTTTGTCAACTTGTAAAACCAGTGGTGACAGCATTCCCTAAGTTAGAGTTGGAACACAGCCAAGGGTGCTTTTCCCCTGCCATACCCCATTCTTACCTTTTACAAATTTTATTAAGTCATAGGATGTTGCTTTTGTACATTAAAAACAAAAAACAAAAAACAGAAATTGAACCTATTACTGGTAACAAAAGTGCTGATTGAAATAGAGAAATGTCAGAATGAATGTACAAGTCATTTGGGAAATAACTCAACATTTCCCCTCAGATTTGGAATCTAGGGACAAAGGCCTGAGCAGTAAGACCCTGTGCATGGAGAGTGAGCAGATCCTGCCAGATGGCTCCCGGGTGCGACACTATGACGTACACAGCCTGTACGGGTGGTCCCAGACCAGACCGACATATGAGTGAGTGTTTTTGACAATTGCAGCACAGATAATTTTCTACATTCCTGAATTTGTTGTTTCATATTTGTATTGCATTTGTACTTACATGATGCCAGCTAAATGGAGCAGTGTCAAACAGATCACGCCTGGTTGCCCAAACAACCCAGAGTACATTCACAGAGTTATACATCCAACACTAAAATAAAATTTTAGAATATTTTCATCATTTCAAAAGAAAAACCTTGATCTGTTAACAGTCATTCCTCCCTGTCCCCACTTCCTGAGCTCCAGCCAATACTAAGCTACTTTCTGTCGTTAACATTATCCATTCTGTGTATTTCAAGTAAATGAAATTGCATAATAATTTTGTGTCTGGCTTCTTTCCCTGGTATGTTTTCAAGGTTCATCTATGTTGCAGGATGTATCAGTACTCCATTCCTTTTATTGATGAATAATATTCTACTGTCAAGATAGAGCATATTTTGTGTGTCTATCAGCCAGCAGACATATGAGTGGTTTTCAGATCTTGGCTATTATGAATAGACATGTATAAACATTCACTGCAAGATTTTGAATCAAAATGTGTTTATTTTCTCTTTAATATATATCTAGGAGTAGAATTTTCAGATTGTATGGTAACCGTATATTTAATATCTTAGAGATATTAACTCTCTAAGAACTGTCTAAAGAGTTTGGCCTTGAAAAATACCATTTGACATTCTCACCAGCAATGGATGAGGGTTGAAGTTACTTTGTATCCATACCAACACAAGTTATTTTTACCCTTTTTATTATAGACATTATAATGGGTTTTAAGTTACTTTGTATCCATACCAACAAGCTATTTTTACCCTTTTTATTATAGACATTTTAATGGACCTAAAGTACATCAATTTTTGTCTTCATTTCCCTAATTACCAGTTCTGTTGAATATTGTTTCATGTACCTATTGGCCATTTATGTATCATTTTAGCAGAAATGTCTATTTGAATTCTTTGCCTATTTTTAAGTTATTTGTTTTTAGGATTGGATTATAAAAACTCTTCATATATTCTGGATACAAGTGATTGATAGATATATGGTCTGCAAATATTTTCTCTCATTCTGTAAATTGTCTTTTCACAGAATGCCCATTTTGAGTTATTTTTTGCATGATTTATGGTATGAAGTAGAGGTTTGATTTCTCCCCCCCCCATTTAATCGTCTTGGCACCTTCTGAAAAATCAACCAACAGTAAATGAGAGTGATTACTTATGGCCTCTCAACTCTATTTCATTGATCTCTATATCTACCTTTTAATAGTACTATACCGTCTTATTTAACAAGGTATGAATCTTCCAATTTTGTTCTTTTTCAAGATTATTTGGATATTCTGGCTTCCTTGCATTTGATGTGAATTTTAGGATCAGCTTGGCAATTTCTACAAGACAGATAGGTATTACATTGAGCCTGCAGATCAATTAGGGAAGTGTTACTTCTTTACCAATATTAAATCTTCTGATTCATTAATATAGAATATATTTCCACTTCTTCAATTGCTTTCAACAATAATTTTAGTTTTCAGTGTATATATTTTTGACCATTGTCTCTTCAAATGTATTTCTTCAAATACACATACAAATGTGTATTTGTACACTTGATAATGTCTTTTTTGTTCTATTTTTTTTTTAATCTCACATAGTTGTTTTATTTTCTGACTACATATGTGCACAGAAGATTTATTTTCTTTCAAGAGCTATTCGGAGATCCTTTGTGTATGTTTGTGCATGAGGAAAACAGAGCTTGCTGTTTCTCTTCTTTTCTCTTTTGGTACCAGGAATTGAACTCCTGTAGTGCCTAACCACTGAGCCACATTCCCAGCCCTTTTTATTTTGAGACAGGGTTGCTGAGTTGCTTAGGGATTCTCTAAGTTGATGAGGATGGCCTTGAATTTACAATCCTCCTGCCTCAGCCTCCCAAGTCACTGGGACAGGAATGAACCACTAAACCCAGTCAATGACTGCTTTTTGAAGCATGGCATAACAGAATGCATTGTACCAATAAGCTATAGTCATATATATTGTTATTTGGATCCCAGATTTGCCTCCTTGCTCTATAAATAATATTTAACAAGTTTTGAAACTTAGCTGAGCTTCAGTTTCCTAACAGTAAAAAGAATGCAGGGAGACCTTCCTCATGTGCTTCAAAGATGGCACCATGTGCTGCTGGGATACAGCAACAGATCCACAAATAGTTGTCAAGCCCTCACCCCATCCCTCCTCTTCCGTCCACATAGAGAACTAGTTTAATAGACCTTTTTTTTTTAGAAATGAAATCCATACTCTAGGGGCTGGTGTATCCCTTCCTGTCCTGATGTGAAGTTGGTTAGGATTCTCAGCATGATTTTCAGATAGCAAATTCCTTTTGGGGAGAAGTTCTCTGACTCCAAAGGGAACAACACTGCTACCTCGTGCTCCAGCTGCATGGAATCCCATGGCTGTGCTTCCTCAATCTTGGTCCTTTTCTTTTTCTTTTTTTTTCTTCTTCTTCTTCTTTATGTACTGATTGGGTTAAGGGTTTCATTTATATTATGAACCTTCTTGTATTGACTTACACATGAATTATAACATTATGGAATCAGCCTACGTATTCATTAGCAAATGAATGAATAAGAAATTTTTATGTATAAGTATTTTATATATCATATATATATATAAATTATATACATGTATTCCACACATACATATACCCACCCATACATACACATACATACAGTAGAGTTTTATTCAGCCATTAAAAAAAAAACACAGAATTATATTATTGCAGGAAAAAGGATGGAGCTGGAGACCATACTTTTGAGTAAAATAAAACAGACTGAGAGAAAAAAGTGTATGTTTTCTCTCATATATTGAAGTTGGAAGGAAAAAAACAAATCAAACACAAAAGTACTTCATGAAATTAGAAGGGATCCAGTAGGGTATAGGAAGAAGATTAGGGGGAGGGTGGAGAAGGTATTGGGGAGTAAAATTGATCAAAAATTTTTTTAGATATGCACAAATGTGGCACAACAACACCCCCCCCCCCGTTCTGTCTAATTGATATGCACAAATTAAAGAGAATATGAGACTAGTTTTACACAGGGAAGAATGAGAGGGAGGATGAAAGAGTTCTTCTAAACAAAGTCTATTGTCTTTTGTAAAATTTACCACATTCGTTCCCAATGCTGTGTTTGCATAGGCAGAAATTTGTAGAAAATATAATCAGGGTCAGAAAATCAGCAACAGGAGATCATTATTGAATGTCAGACCTTGGCTAGGATGGGAGGGACATTTTTAAACTACATTTTTAAAGACTGATCAGTTCACAAGTCAAGGTTGAGTGAAAGAACTCAGGCCGTGGAACAACTCAACAGTTAACTTAATCTTGTTCCCCTCCTACCAGAGCTGTGCAGGAAGTGACTGGACAGCGAGGGACTGTCATCACCCGCTCCACATTCCCCTCCTCTGGCCGCTGGGGAGGACACTGGCTGGGAGACAACACTGCTGAGTGGGACCAGCTGGGGAAATCTATCATTGGTGTGTGGCTTGTTCCCGGGGCCTCTGCTCGTTTTGGGGGTGGGGTACTGGGTATGTATAGATTATCATGTAGGCAGGCAGTAAAGTCAAGAAGAGTTGAGTTCTTTGTGGTTGTGGGTTTTAATTTACAATCATTTTTTTCAGTATTTTCATTATGAATGGCCCAGGGTCTTGAATGATAGGGAAAAATTGGTCAAACATTTTCTCTTCCAAAAGGACCTCTTCTGCTAACACAGCCATATTATCTCATTGCAGGCATGATGGAGTTCAGTCTCTTTGGAATATCTTATGTAAGTCATCTTGGAGTCATTACTAATGCCTTGTCAGGTTCCAATGTCAGCAACTTCAAAAAAAACCCACAAAAACTCTCATGCTCTGATTCTTTTTTCATTTTCTCAGACAGGAGCAGATATCTGTGGCTTCTCTGGAGATGCTGAGTATGAGATGTGTATTCGCTGGATGCAGCTGGGAGCCTTCTACCCCTTCTCCAGGAACCACAACACCAAAGGGACAAGGGTGAGGCAGCCATCGTTCATGCTGCAGGCGTTTGTACCCTCAGCCAGGCCTTCTTTTTAATTCACAAGAGTATCATACCTATTTTCCGAGAAAAAGCACACACACACACACACACAGAGCACAATAACTCCTCTTCTTGGAATATCTACAAAATTCAAAACTCCAGAGTTATCAATAATTTTTAAGAATACACTATTCATCATGTTCTGGAGGATTAGTACCTATGAGGAAAGAAGTTTTTATAGTTCCTGCATAGGACTGAAATATAAGAAGCACCTCTTGCTTTTAAGAATATTGAATTTGTGTTGCATTCAGATTCACCTGAGATATATCAGCACTGAATAGAGAACTACTTCTCTTCACATGTGCAAGGGCAAAGCTGGACCTGGGTGTGGTCCTTAGGGATCAGTGTAAAAAGAAAGAGCAACACTTTCACACTTTCTAGTTTTTCAGGTGGCAGGGCAGGGTAAAAAGTAGGCTAGAATGAAGTATATATATCCAGTATACACACTGGATAACCCCTTACTGATACTACCAAAATTGGTGATCTGTGATATGCTCTCTTATCCCTTTAGAGACAAGATCCTGTGGCCTGGAATTCAACCTTTGAGAACTTCTCAAGGAAAGCCCTGCAGCTCAGATATACCCTGCTGCCCTACCTCTACACTCTGATGCATAAAGCTCACACAGAGGGCAGAACCGTCATCCGACCCCTTTTCCATGAGTGAGTATAGCCTGTGTCCCTTGCCTGTGGGTGGCCTGCTGATCTGGACAGGTCTTGTAAATCATCCTCTGTAACCGTGTGTGTGAATTTTCATATTTATCATTTAAGGTTTACAGATGACAAGACAACGTGGGATATAGACCGTCAGTTTATGTTGGGACCTGCCATCTTGATCAGCCCTGTGCTGGAAAGTGTGAGTTTTTCATTGTAGATCAGGAAGCCTCTTATCACACAGTGCAAAGTCAGAGGAAAAGCATTTTCAATATCCCCTTGTCTTGTTACAATCACTATTTACTTTCTATAATGTCTCAAGGAGATTTTTTTTTCCAAGATTCCCATTAATGAAAGCTTCACAATAACGATTAACTTCTCATTATGAATTTTTGTCACCTTTTGCCCTTTTCCAACTTACTCTTTATAAAAAATTATTTTTCTGTGTATTTGAAAAAGAAATTCTCAGTCTATTTCTTTAAAAAAAATCTCAAATTCTTGACATCCTAATAGAATTCTATTTTTAATATTAATTCTGCAGAAAATGATTTAAAAGTTAAAATTATTTCCTTATTGCAATACTCAATAATGACATGTTCATTTTGTGTTTCAGAACACATTTGAGATCAGTGCTTATTTTCCCAGAGCCCAGTGGTATGACCATAGCACGGTAAGAACAAATGTATTTGTGAGGACCCGGGTGGCTCTCTGCAGGCTAGAGAAGTGGTTAGAACTTTTTTTCTGACTTCTGAACATATATTTTCTAAGGCAGTAACTTCCAGCCTTTTCAGCTGTTGCAAGATTTATTTAAATGAAGAGATGCATTAAAGCATAAATAGATAAAATCTGAGATTCTGTATCCCACTGATGTCTACCAGTTACCCTTCAGGAGAGACAGAGAAAAGACTAGGTTTTCAGAGTCTTAAGCAAAATGAAAAAAAAAAATAAGTTTTCTCTCCCAGTTTGCAATATGTTGCTAACTTCTTTGAAAAGAAGGACTTGTAATGGAGCATGCATTCGTTTAATCAGTTCATCTGTTCCCATATCTTGCCTGTATGATCCTTCCTAGGAATCTGCCTACAGATCCACAGGTGAGTTGGTAATACTGAAGGCTCCCCTAGACCACATCAACCTTCATGTCAGAGGAGGCTACATCCTGCCTTGGCAAGAGCCTGCCATTAACACTTACTACAGGTAAGAAGAAGAGGTGGGATTTGATGGCCTTGCTTGGCCATGTGAGGCACCTTAAGGCTGTTCCATATTTACCAGGGCTATGTGGATAAATTAATCAAATGGCAGATGGGTCTTCCTGGTTGGATTCTGAGTGCCTTCTGAATAGGATCTGGAGAATGAGTTCATAAAGGCAGTCTTGGAAAGATCTTTTATTCTAATGCTGTGTGATGGTGAAATGCTTTCCTGAGGGTGGAAGCATGTTTCTCTTCCCACGCAATTAAAAATATAGGAGTATTAATGAGCTTCTTGCGGTCAATGCAAGAAGATATTCCTTTCTTTCTTTCTCTCTCTCTCTCTCTCTCTCTCTCTCTCTCTTTCTCTCTCTGTATATATATATATATATGAACTCACTCATTAAGGAGAATATGTTTTGTCAAGAAAGGCATCTGCAAACAGAGATAGCAACCCTGAAGGAGAGAGGTCAATTTACAGTCTGTGGTGTAAAGCCCAGATTTACATGAAAGAGGGCTTTGAGCTGGATCTTAAATAATGAATAGGATTTGAATGGATGAGTGCAAGAGAAAAAGATATTCTGGGAGGATGAAAGAACTAAAGAGTGGATTGGATTTGGGGAATAGCAAGCCATTTAGTTTAATTGGAGCATAGATAAGGGAAGGGGTCACATAAATTAAATTCAAGCAGGAATAGAGCAGATCATGGAGGGCTATGAATGTCTAAGTAATTTAGAGCAACTTGAATAAGTAATTTAGAGAAACCTGAAAGCTATTGAAGAGTTCTTTTTTCTTGAGGTTTCTTCCTGAGGACTTCAGACCTCATTAAATTACTTGAATATGTATATTTATAAAGTATGTATATTTAGTTTTTGAAAGTTGAAATTAAATCAAATGTTTCATTAAACATTAAATGTTTCCATTAACTTTTAAGTATCATATTTTATCACATTTTACCTCTTTTTAGAACTTTATGTGCATATTTAATATGCTACTTTTATTTCTGGATAAGTAATATTTTCAACATGAGCTGTTCTTCATTCTTAAAACCTACAAACTAGTGAAAATTAATACCCCTCCCCTTTTTTTGATAGTCGACAATGTTTTATGGGGTTAACTGTTGCTTTGGATGATGATGGGAAGGCTGAAGGTCAACTGTTCTGGGATGATGGACAAAGCATTGGTGAGTGTGAACTTCCCAGAATCCTTGAACATCATTCAGAAAAGCAGTACCCTAGAGGATCAGTGTGTAACCATAGGAACTTAAAATCTCTCTGTGTCGGCTACTGTCAATATGATCCTGGTGTAGGAAGAACTTTTACAACTTTTCCCTGCTCGTGTTATGCTACAAATTATTATAGACCAGGTATATGATGCTATAGACCAGGTATATTTATCCAGCCAGGGATGGTCTCTCTTACTCTGATAAAATAGTGTGGATACAAATATCAGGCTGACAGTTAAATTCATTCTCAATGGAACAAGGACTGGGCTCTATTATTGGGCCAGCTGGTCACACCAGGCATCTTTTTCCTCATATGTTGGCCCACTCAGGAAAAAAAAAATAGAGTTAGAAAATTTCTTGGTAACTCATAAATTGGGAATTAAGTATCACCTAAAGGATACTTCATACCTTATGTGCTTTCACTCCCCAATCCAGGGACAAGCTCATTCTGCCTTGGATTGGAATCTACTATTGTAATCAGAGCAGCCTCTTTCTCAGACATTTCTATGGAAATACTGACACACTGCTGCCAACCAGTTACTTTTCATTACTTATATACTGTGGAACAGAACATTTTGTCTTGCAGCTTGCCACATTTTCTGAAATGTTAATCTATTTCTCACTACTGCATTTCTAAAGGCTTCCTTCTTTTTAGTTTTATTCATTATAAAGATAAGATACTCTCATTAAAGCATGAAGTGTTCTCTTCAAAAAGTCTTAAAGATAGAAAATTAGAAAAAAATATGTCCACTTTTAATATTTTTGCTGTATTACTTTTGGATTTACATTACTTAATAAAATGTGTGATTTTTTTGTAGCTGGAAGCATACTACAAATTTAATTTGTGAAGCCTGCTTATTTTCACTTAACATAACGAAAGACACAATTCTAGATGTATTATATTCTCCTTATAAGCACCATTATGACATAGATTCTATCAGGAAGCTATGCTGTAATTTATGTAACTGTGTAATTGTTCTTTATATAGGATGCTTTCAGTTTTCATTTTTATGAATCACATTTTGTAGTATTAGCCTGTGTTTGCATTTTAGATTATTTCCATAAAGTATATTCCTTGAAGATCATTATTTTCCTTTCTTCAAAGAGTTGTAATTTACATAAATAAAATGTCTTCATTTTTAAATAGAGCTCTTGAATAGTTGGCAGATACACACAGTGAGATGACCACCATCACATCAAGATACAGGATCTTTTCATGACCCAAGAGCGCCCTTATTTTTTCCAGTCAGCTTTTCCCACTTCCACCTGCTACTTCCAGGAAAAGGCAGTATTTATTCTGCTTTCTCCAACTACAGACAGAGCCATGTCTCCTAGGTTTTATATGAGTAGAATCAGGTGGTGTAGACCCTTTATGTGTCTTTAGATTTTCACTTATCAGAATGCTTTTTAAATTCACCCGTGTTGTTGCTTGTAAAAGGAGCTAATTACTTTTTAGTCCTGAATAGCATTCCATTTTGTGGATATACCACAATTTGCCCATGGATTTACTGATAAATATTTAAGTTGCTTCATTTTTGGAACCATTATTTGTGTATAAAACATTTTGTGATCTTATCTGTTCATCTCTCTTGCCTAAAAATCTGGGAGTGGAATTGCTGGGCCATATTGGATAAATACAGGTTTAATGTTCAAAGAAATTGCCAAAATTATATTCTAATGTGGCTGAACTATTTCCTATTATTAACAGCAATGATTAAGAATCCAACTTTTCTCATCCTCGCTAATACCTGGTATTATCAGTTTTTATACTAAATACTAAAATATGGAACAATTAGATTTAATTTAAATTTTCTATTAGCAGATTTTCCTTGCTTACATAAAGTAATATAAAGGCTACTTCAAGGATAATCTTATAATCTTTAAAAATTCTGTGAGCCAAATCTCATTCTTGAAAACTCTTCATTAACTGATAAAAGTGGCTATAGTGTTTGCTTAAGTTGCATTCATTTTAAGGCTAAATTTAAAATACCATATGGATTTTGTAATTGTTTACTTCCCTATGAGGTAATGTTGAAGACATAGAAGAGAGTCAGTCAGTTCAAGGAGATAATTTTTTGGACTATTGGCAAGAGACTGAAATGTTGACAAAGGTCAAGAATAGATCATGATGTAAAACTGACTTTTAAGAAATAGGAGGAGGTATGAAAGTACCATGAAGAGAATGAATAAAGTAGATACCAACTAAGAAATAAAGTATTCCTCTTTTTTTGAGTTTTCACATTTTGTGGTTTTAATTACCTATGGTCAGCAACAGTCCAAACCTATTAAATGGACAATTCCAGAAATAAGTAATTGATGCAGTGGGTAGAGTGTATGAAATTTTATGCAATCTTAGTCCATCTCACTTAGGATATGAACCATCAGTTTATCCAGTGTATCCATGCTGTATATACTACCCTCCAATTAGTCACTGAGAAGGCATTTTTGTTATTAGGTTAACTGTTGCACTATTTCAATGCTTATATTTTACTTAATAATGGCCCAAAGCTCAAGCCTACAAAATTATGTTACAATTGCTATATATTATTATTAGTTTTTGTTAATCTCTTACTATGCCTAATTTATAAATTAAAGTGTAACATAGGTATGTATATATAGGAAAAAAAACACAGTAATAAGCTTCAGTACTATTAATACTAGTACTGGTATTAGAAACTAGTTTCTGGTATCTGCTAGAGATAGCAGAACATATGCCCCATGTATAAGTGGGGACTACTGAATTTCAAGGGGGAGATGTGTAGGTAAAGGGTGTCTTAAGAACCTTGAACACTGTGAAGAGATATTTAGATTTAATATATTATGTCACTTGTGACTTTGAAAGGATAAGATTCAGTGATAAAAAGAAAAAAGGAAGAACGTAAGAATGTAAGATCAAATTTCAAGTTGAATACACAGACATCACAAGCAAAATCTACCTTTTTGAGACAAATGGCAATGAAAAGGAGATCTAATGGTCGAGTTTTCTGGAGCATACTATATATATCCTGGAAGATCAGTGAAGGCATGTAGCGATGAAGAACTCACGGAGTGTACTCTGTAGCAGCAGGAGGACTTTGGATCTCTGGCATTCTAGGAGAATGAGCTAAGAGTAGGGACAGAGAATAATGAAGATAAAGATGATGACTGATGATGACGATGAACAGCGATTTCCCCTTTTTTTATTGGTACATTGTAATTATACATATCAGTGGGACTTGTTACACATTTGTTCATGCATACAGCATAACAATATAATTTGGGCAAATTTGTTCTCTAGTACCACATACAACAAATTTTGACCATTTATTTTGCACAACTACAGTGTATGTGCCTATTGTCATTAATGGGCACTATTCTTATCTCCATTTACAGATGATAAAACATTTTTACTTGTCTGAGGCACAACTACTAAGTACTAGAGCTGGGATTTAAATCCATGTCTCTCTGACTTGGAAGCCTGAATCCCTAAACACTTTCCTCAGCTTTGGGCCTTTATCATTACACCCATGGGGACTCTCATGGCTATATGCTTGTTACATCAGTGCAGAATGACTAACCAAGTCTCCACATTTCACCTATGGTTCTATTCAGAATTTAACTCAGATTATTTTGCATATGCAACCTCCTGACCCCTCTCCATCTCCATACCTACTCCACTCATACATCCCCATAATAACCCAGGGTAAAATATTTCTTGAATACTACCTATAGTTGTGGGGGTGGTGGTGGTAGATGTGTTACTCAGAACCCAGAACCTCATGTATGCTGGGCAAGTGGTTGGCTACTATTGAGCACTTCTCAGGGAATTGATGATATCCAGATTGGCTTTTGTGACCACATTAAGATATTTTCTGACTTGATTATCTGCTGCAATGGAAGCATTGAGCAGTTGCTTATTTTCTTCTTCCTCTTGCTTTCAGACACCTATGAAAATGGAAACTATTTCTTGGCAAACTTTATTGCAGCTCAGGTAATGCTATTTTGTTGAACTTTATAAATGCTTTTTCCAGTTAGTTACAGATTAAACATTATCAGTTAATGTTTATAATATCTCACATTTTAATAGGAGGTCTTTACTGCCTTTACCAATTCAGATTTGTTAACATTAAAATAGGGAAGAAAAGAAATCCTTATTTTGATAATTATCCAATAGTATTATTATAGATAAAGAAATTTGGAACTCACATTGATCCAGGGAAAAAATGGATTCCTAAATGTGTACCATGTTTTCAGATGAGAAATTTAATAAGCTGTTATGCAATAATGCTGCACCACAGACAACCTCAAACCCTCAGTGGCATGCAACTATAAGCACTTGGTTATTAGACTGCAAAACTCAGATGACTGGACTGAATTTGGCTGATACTGGCTGGCTCAAAAGTGACTGCATTTAGCCACTGGTTCTAGGCTGCTTGAGTGATCTTGGCTTCACTTTCTCACATACCTGGCATATCAGCTGACCTACAGATGATCTAACATGACCTATAGGATGGTCTGAGCATGATGTTTTTATGATTATGGAAGAAGGTGCAAATTGACATGGAAATGCCTATAATCACCTCATGCATGGAGCTGACTAATCTCCCACTAGCAAAGCTAAGTCAGATGCGCACGTGGGACAGCATATTGCATTAAGTCAGGCAAAATTACCAAAATTACATAGAAAAGTGAGGAATGAATAGTTGGAGACAACATTACAATCAGTGTATTATGTTAAGTAATTCCATGAATAATCTGTAATTCTAATTAGAGAAAAAAAAGGTTCATTTCATTTTCAAGTTAGAATTTGCTTCTCCGTAATTTTTATCTATTGACTTAAAATAAGAATAATTGTAGCACGAATCTATTCTCTTTTCCTTAAGTACTTCAAATACTTGAGATGTCTTTTATGTATATATATATATCCCTTCTGTCTTTTTGCATCTCTGGGCTAACATTATTGGTTTCTAGATGTGATTATTCTGTTTGGACTCCAGTTATCCTAGATTTGCCCTAAAACCTGGTTCTCAGGATTAAGAGCACAATTTAGACCTTCACTATCCAAAATACATGTGACTGTTAAGCCCTTGCAAGTATGGCCAGCCTAATTTGAAATATTTACTAACTAAGTTTGAAGAAAGATTGTATAATATCCCAGAGGTTTTATATTGAATACACGTTGAAATAATATTTTATAAACCTTGATACTAAATAAAATATCTTTTAAAATCAATTTTTCCTTTTACTTTTTGAAAATGTGGCTATTAGAAAATTTAAAATTACATATATGGTTTGCACTATATTCCTACAGGAGAGAATTAATTTTTATATTGCCTACTACCACTTTTTAGCCAGACTGTTTTTTACTGATGTTGCATTGTGTTAATGTTTAAACACATGTATCAGATGTTTGGCACATAAAAATCTCATGGTCAACTACATTTTATTTTCATAGACATGAGTATCAGATCATATCGTCTTTATACAGAATTTGCCTCTTTTGAAACTAAATGCAAAAGTTTGTATTCTCATTAAATCTGTACATTCCCTGTTTTTAACAAAAGAATACTGGAGTGGAAAACTTTATTTTTCCTCTCAAAATATTGTTTGTAAATGAAGCTGTTGATCTAGAAATCCTGGATTTTAGTTCTCTTTCTACTACTAAGAGGCGCTTTTCTTGTTAAATCTATTTATTATAAAACATAAGATGGCCCTTAAATTACTTTTAAATCTAAATTTCCATTCTTTTGTTATTCCACATTAGTGATAAGAGGATTCTTACTTCTGGGATGTTTAATAAATTTCCCCCCTAGATATCAGTGGCCTGAAGTGAAAAAAAGCTGCTAGCGTTCTGTGGGGTAATTATTATCAGTGTTGCCTGGCTAGTGAGCCAACTTGTGGGGTAGGAGCTGATCTATAGTATTTACTGACTTCTGTGTTAAAAAAACATCCACCATCTTAACCAATTTCTAACTATAACTACTATGCACAATTTCAGGAAATTGAACCATCTGCTCTCTCAAATCAGTAAGATCTAGCCCTAATACCTACTTGCTTCAAGTGTATATCTTTTCCTTGATCTTTCCTTTGATTCGGCCTGCCCATTTTTCCTTTGATACAGCCAAAAAATCCTATTAATTCTTTTTTTTAAAATTTGTTTTAATTAGTTATACATGACAGTAGAATGCACTTAAATACTTTGATGTATCATACATAAATGGGATATAATTTCTCATTTTTCTGAGTATACATATTGTAGAATCACATTGGTCATACGGTCACCTATATACATACAGTAATAATAATGTGTTTCATTCTACTATTTTTATTATCCCCACATCCTCTGCCTTCCCCTCCTTTCACTTCCCTCTACCTAAGCTAAGGTAATGTTATTTTTTTTTGCATTACAATTCTTAATACACATAAATACCACACTTTTTGTATTTCTGTTTGTATATATTGACACCCAATTCAAGTCTTCACACATGTACTTTGTATAATGATGTCCATCACATTCCACCATCCTTGTTACTCCCCTACCTGCTCCCTTTCCCTCCCACCCCTCTTCCCTATCTTGATAATGCCAATTGTATGCTTCTTTCTCTTTCTACTGCTACCACCAGAATCAAGATATGCACAATTCTAGTCTACTTCAACTATTCCAACTTACTGCATAGTTCACAACCTTATCTGACATACTTACATGCAAAACCAGTCTCATTTCCCTTTTTTCTTAGCACCACCTACAGTAGCCCTTGCCCTAACTCAATGAGTGTGCCCTTGTTCAAATTATCTCTGTCTCTTTTCCCTGCCCCATTCATGTCACCTTTATACATCCTATCCACCTTCCCAGGACTTCTGAAGTTCTGTGTCCTTACCAAATCTTCCTTGACTACACTGTTCCTATAGTAACAAATTTTCACTATGTGTTTCTTTTGGCCTTAGTTACATGGCATCCCATGATTTATTTCAGGTTATTTTAATCCTTGCATTGATGCTTAACGAGCTCACAATTGAGATAAGTTCCTGCATTTCTTGTCAACCATCCTTACTCTAGGGCTTTTTCTTTATTCACCTGTATTAATTCTTCTAATTCTGTGCATATAGGCACATTGTCCTTCAGCTACTCACTTCATCTCCTAGAACCTCAGTTTTCTCATCTGTAAAACAGAGTTTCTTTTCAAAATTATTATAAGAATTAGTAAAAGATACACGCAAGGTATGCTGGTAGGCCTATTTTTTGACATCATCAAATTTATTGCAGCAAGTGTTCAGGAAATGTCTTTATAAAATGTTCAACTAAGAATAAAAATAGCAAACCAGTACAACAAAGGCAACTTGAGGTTTCTAAGCATCTGAATGCAAGGCATAGGTTAATAATAATGTATTTTGCACTTTTCTTTTTATGAATTTTTTTAGAACACCTTGAAAATTCAGGTCATACACAATAAGTATTTGAGCGACTCAAATTCATTGAAAGTTGGATATATTAAAATCTGGGGAGTGAACTCTACTTATGTGACACAAGTCGGTTTCATATATGACAACTGGGAATTCATGACGACCAATTTCAAGAGTGACCCTTATACTCAGGTATGTCTGAAAGGAATGCTATCATGAGCTAATTTTATTATTCTGCAAAATTATCAACACTATTATCAGCCTTATATGTACATATATTTCAAATGCTATAAATGTTTGCAACAGGTATGTTCCCAAAAAGTTCAGTGTTGGATTATGCTGTGAAATGCATAGTATGTTGTCCCAGGTCCAGTGGTCAGTGGTTTGGTGATACCTTCTGTGCATTTACAAACGAAATTGTGCTTTTGAATAGGTCAGTTTCCCAGGCTGCATTATAGAACTTACTTTTCTGTTCAGAGGCTAAAACAAAGAAAAGAATGATTCCTTAATGTTGCAAAGGTTCCTTGCTCTTTCCTGCAGCAATCACATCCCTGGTCAAATTTTTATGGATCTTTTAGGTTGAAAATTGGCAGTAAACTGTGGTGACCATTCAATGACTATATCTAACCTTTGATGTTTTATTTGGTTAATAAAACAAAGTGTCAAAAATAGAAGAACCTATCAGAGGGTATGCTTTTGTTGTTAGAGCCACATAAATCAGCATTTTGAAAGTTGTATTAACAATAGTAACACCTAGAGCAATCACAGAGGAAAAAGCACTCTACTTTAGCACATGACACTAATCAGAAATATGAGTTCAGCAAGTCATAGTGTAGAGTGTAAAAAAGTGAAAATTAATAACTCTAGTTCCAGCTTCTAAAAGGTGAAAAGGGTGCCCTGTTGATATTTTAATTTTAGAAAAAGGCCCTTCTGAATACAGGCCAAATAATTCCTTTTTCTATAGTCTCTTCTAGTTGTTTGCAACATTTTCCCTGGACTATTGGGTTCAGAACCACTTTCACCAAGTAACTGTTTCTAATTAAGACAAACACAGAAAGTCCTTGAATACCCTCTTTTTTGGACATTTCCATAGCACATCAGATGCCAGTAGGTGCCAGTTACCAGGTGTTGAACATAGTGAAGGTATGAAACTAGCCTGCTGCCAGGAAGAGTAAGGCCAATGGCAAGGCAAGGAGGTTTTAATAAACACTGGCTTTAATTGCAGCTGTAACATTTGGGACCAATGTGGTTCTGACTGAATGAAGTGAGTAGGAAGAGACTGCCATTATAGGATTCTGCACACAGAGCATCTCTCCAAATTAAACTGTCAGGAATGCATGTGATCTAAAAAAAAAAAAAAAAAAAGTTATGGTATACTGTCACTGTCTTGGCAAAGAATGAGCACATTGTGGGTTTTATTATTGTTGTTAAATGAAATTTCAGATGGGACTAAAATATGGTAAAGAAGTTTTAATACACCCACTTTATTTTATTTTATTTTTATTTTTTTGGCAGACACTAACTATTCAGTTGACTGACAAGAGTGTTAGTCTGGAAAAATTAACTGAGGTATTCTGGATTCATGGGAATCCTTCCTTTACTACTCCACCTGTGACAAGTGCCTTCCCCATGAGTCCTGAGCCTTCTACATCTTCTACAACAGCTGTTGGTACTGAGATTCTCACTAGCTCTGCTAGTGCAAGTCCTACTGCTGGCACTAGTGAACCGTCTGCCATAACCACTCCTTCAACCAGCTCTACAGCAGTCACAATTAGTGCAGCTGGTCCTGACACTACGCCTTACTCTGTGGCCACTGGTGCTAGCACAAGTGCCACTGTACCTGTCCCAACCACAACACTCACAATAAGCAGTACCAATGTCACCACTGCCACAAATGCTTCCTTCACCACCAGTATTGCCACTGTCACCAGTGTCACTGTCCCTGTCCCAACCACTCCTTTCACCACAGGTACTACTAATGTCATCACTGCCACCAGTGCTCCTTTCACCACCAGTATTGCCACTGACACTAGTGCCACTGTCCCTGTCCCCACCACTCCTTTCACCACAGGTACTACTAATGTCACCACTGCCACCAATGCTCCTTTTACCACCAGTAGTTCCACTGACACCAGTGTCACTCTCCCTGTCCCAACCACTCCTTTTACCATAGGCACTACTAATGTCACCACTGCCACAAATGCTCCTTTTACCACCAGTAGTGCCACTGACACTAGTCCCACTGTCCCTGTCCCAACCACTCCTTTCACCACAGGCACTACTAATGTCACCATTGCCACCAATGCTTCCTTCACCACCAGTATTGCCACTGACACTAGTGGCACTGTCCCTGTCCCCACCACTCCTTTCACCATAGGCACTACTAATGTCACCACTGCCACCAATACTCCTTTTACCACCAGTAGTGCCACTGACACCAGTGTCACTCTCCCTGTCCCAACAACTCCTTTTACCATAGGCACTACTAATGTCACCACTGCCACCAGTGCTCCTATTACCACCAGTTTTGTCACTAACACCAATGCCACTGTCCCTGTCTCCACCACTCTTTTTACCATGGGAACTACCAATGTCACCATTGCCACCAGTGCTTCCTTCACCACCAGTATTGTCACTGACACTAGTCCCACTGTCCTCATCCCAACGACTCCTTTCACCACGGGCACTACTAATGTCACCACTGCCACCAATGCTTCCTTCACCATGAGTATTGCCACTGACACCAGTGCCCCTGTCCCTGTCCCCACCACTCCTTTCACCACAGGCACTACTAATGTCACCACTGCCACCAATGCTTCCTTCACCACGAGAATTGTCACTGACACCAGTGCCCCTGTCCCTGTCCCCACCACTCCTTTCACCATAGCCACTACTAATGTCACCTCTGCCACCAGTGCTCCTTTCAGTAATGCCACTGACACCACTGCCCCTGTCCCTGTCCCCACCACTGCTTTTACCATGGGAACTACCAATGTCACCACTGCCACCAATGCTTCCTTCACCACGAGTATTTTCACTGACACCAGTGTCACTGTCCCTGAACCAACCACTCCTTTCACCATAGGCACTACTAATGCCACCACTGCCACCAATGCTCCTTTTACCACCAGTAGTGCCACTGTCACCAATGCCACTGTCTCTGTCCCAACTACTCCTTTTACCATAGGCACTACTAATGTCACCACTGCCACCAATGCTTCCTTCACCATAAGTATTGCCACTGACACCAGTGCCACCGTCCCTGTATCCACCACTCCTTTCACCACAGGCAATACTAATGTCACCATTGCCACCAATGCTCCTTTTACCACGAGTATTGCTACTGACACTAGTCCCACTGTCCCTGTCCCAACTCTTTTTACCATAGTCACTAATGTCACCACTGCTACCAATGCTTCCTTCACCACGAATATTGTCACTGACACCAATGTCACTGTCCCTGTCCCAACCACTTCTTTCACCATAGGCACTATTAATGCCACCAGTGCTCCTTTTACCACCAGTAGTGCCACTGTCACCAGTGTCACTGTCTCTGTCCCAACTACTACTTTTACCATAGGCACTACTAATGTCACCACTGCCACCAATGCTTCCTTCACCACGAGTATTGTCACTGATACCAGTGCCCCTGTGTCTGTCCAAGCCACTTTCCCCATAAGCACTGTTGGTGCTACAGCAAACACAGCTGCTCAGGATACAGCTCGTCCTCCTGGTGCCACTGCTGCCAGCCCGAGTGATGTGGTGCCTCCTGCAGCCGTGGCCTCCCCGGCCAGTACTGCTGCTGCTGAAACCAGTACTGAGTTACTGGCCTCATCTACCTCCCCCCTAACCAGTACCAGTCATGTGGGCAGGAGCACTGTGGTTCCTCCTGGCGCCACCCCTTCCCCTCCTGGCGCCACCCCTTCCCCTGCAACCCCTCCCACATCCAATGCTGGTGCTAGTGCTTCTCTGGTGACCACCTCCTCTCGTGCCAATAAGGATGATACCAGTCCTCACCATGGACTTCCAGTTGCGTCCACTCCTCTCACACACACTGGTGCTGATTCCATGAGCAATAGCTTTCCTCTTTTGACTCCTTCTTTCTCTGAAAATAGTACTGATGCTTTGAACACCACTGTTGTTACGGGAACTACACCTGTAGGTAGGAAGGTTGCTGGCACTGGCAGTGAGTCTCCTGTTACACATCCTTTTCCCTCTACTGTGCCTGGTGGTTTCAACAGTGGTAAGACTCTTCCTGAAGTGAGTACTCTTTCTACAAATACTGTTGCTTCTAGTCATCTTCTTTCTGTTTCGACTTTCTCCCCAGAAGGAACAACTGCCACCTCTCTTAATCCCCCTGATACTGCAGTGCCACCATCTTCAGACCTGGGCCCGGGAACCTCCCCTGTCACAACAAACTTAGCAAATAGCCCCGCTACAGAGGGTACAACCTCTGGCACCACAGATACCACTTTTGATGTAGCAACTGCTACTGACACACAACCATCTAGTACCCAAGACTCAAGTTCCTTCTCCCCTACCCCTGCAAAGGTTAGAACTGCCTCCTCTGAAATCACAGAGTTCACTGCTCCTGGCTCTGCTGTTACTGTGACACCAGTCTTAAGTCACACAACATTAATCCCCACTCATGTTCCTAATCAAGGCACCATTGATACTTCTACCACAAGCACTACAGCCATGACTGTGGTTTCACTTACTACAAATGCTACACATCTCACCACTGCAGGAAACACAAATGCAGCCAGAGGAGTCGCCGTGGTTACTATGTCTGCCAATGACACTTCTGTAAAAACTACAGACCAAGGCATGTCAGCTCTGCCTCCTATAGGTGACCCTGGTGCCACCAGAGATGATGAATCTCTGATAGAACATACCAGAAAAGTCACTGCTACTCATCCTCAAAATAGCCCCACTCATGCTTTAAATACCACTTCCACAGGCACTGGGGATACTTGAAACCAACCACCACCAATGCTCACAATGCTGTGTAGCACCAGGCATCACAGGTACTGTAGATACTCCCACCAGAGGTACCCCAACTACTCAGCTACTCTTAACCTTGGCACTACAAGTGTTTCTACTGAATACTTTCTCTACTCTCCCACATAGTACTCAAGAATCTGCCACTTCTCATACACAAACACTAAAGACAGCACATCTGCTGCTAAAGCTACTGGAAATGCCATTACAGTATGTAGTTCTACCAGGGCTACACATATTTTCAACACAAAAACCACAAATTCAATTACTATTTATACAGTCCTTTCAAATTCTTACATCCAAAGTGCCACAGGTATCCTGTATATTTCAATATATACTTTAGATACTTCCACTCCTCATAGAATAACATAGGATGCTTCTGTTATTGCATCTACAGAAGTCACAAGTGCCATGAATACTGCTCTAGTTCCATGACTGCTGTTGAAGCCGGGTCATTACTACAGATAACCCTTTGAAACAACTATTGCATATGTAGACAATCAGTGGATACCCAATCTTATGCTTTCTGTTTTCACCATTATTTTTACTCTAACCAGAGCAGATATGGGTATTCCAACACTGTCAACATTGCAGGCAGGTTCAAGAATGCATCCATTACAAAGTTTTCACCAAAGAAGCCAAATTGTGTACCATGATTCTTTTAATCATAGTTATTATTTCCATAGCCCTATTAATTAAACTTTAAATATTTATATCCTTGCTACAGACTTCACACACAATCTTGGTGTTTTCAGATAATATATTCATAGACATTAGGTGCTATGAATACTAGTACCCAAGACTCGAGTTCTTGTAGATGTAGTTATTGAAATAGCTCAAATTGTTTCTTGGGTAACAGGACATGATACAACAGTATCACTAAATGCACTAGTGATACACATGACACTCAATTGACCTTTCCAACAACAGTTATTAATATTGCAAATTATTTGATTAATGATGCAAAAATAGCACTTTATTTTCCTGAGGACTTTTCCAAGTACCAGGGCTACCAATATAGAAATTTGCTATCACACATGCTAAAAGTCATATTGCTTTTCATAAAATTCTCGTTGTTGCTGTATATATGGAAAATGCTATCATTGTAGATATTGTATATGCCTTGACTGCAGGCACTGAAGTCATTAAATTATGAATATTAAACCTTTTGCTATCACAGAAAATAAAAATGACTCTACATAATAAAAAAGCAGTCCCCCAGTTTTGCAGTCATTATTTCCATGGGCATTATTGATACTACAGATTTGATAACTATAGGTTGAATATCCCTTATCTGAAATACTTGGGACCAGAAGTGTTTTGGATTTCATGTATTTTTCAGAGTTTGAAACATTTGTATATACAGAATGAGCTTACCTTGGGGATGTGATCCGAATCTAAACATGCTTTATTTTTCATATATACCTTGTACATATAGCCCAAAGTTAATTTTATATAATATGTTTAATTACTTTTTTCCTGAACAAAGTTTTATGTATGAAATTGCTCACTAGTTGCATCATGTTGGTGCTCAAAATGTTTCAATTTCAGACTTACATATTAGGGATGCCCAACATGCACTACTTTAGTGTGGGGACACTAAAGTCCTTCCAGAACCCTTCACATTCATCTTACTTATGAATCTAGGCCCTTACTGTTACCACCAGTGACTAGCTCTGACTCTCCAGAAATCACCCAGAGAAAAGACATAGCCCATGGGAAGCGGTCGACCCTGGAATCAGAGTTCATAATCTTGTTTATTTTTCCTTTATCTGCCTGCTTTCCCTTTGTTATTTGACTGTTTTAACTGTTATTTGACACTCTCTTCAGTGTGATAAGGCTTTTGCCTTATCATGTTCTTGGTCTTTTATACACAAATTCATCACTTATCTCCAACCTATTACTTCCTCAGATCACCCAGAGGCCCCTCAGTAGACTCAGGGTCATGGCCAAATCCAGCCACTTTTGTGCTGTTGATGGTTTAACTCTAGAAAATCTTTCTCCAAGTGCAGTTACAGAATCTGTGCAGTGCCCCACAATATTCTCTGGGATCAAAACTATCTTCACTCGAATAAGCTGTTATTTGCCTATTTCTTATTCTTACTCTTATTCTCTCATTAGTATATGGTAGATTTTCCCCAGAGATTCTATTCTGTGTTGTATCACAATAGATAAATATAGAGACAGATGCTAGAATATAGTTTTCTTCTGTAATGTAAGATACTCGTATTATTCGGATTTGCAAAATGTAAAACAGTGCTATTCCTTTTACTGCTTTTTTGTGCTTTGAAAAATATGTTATTTTTCACAAAATATGTTATTTATGTTAACATGTGGGAATATATTGTTATTTTTAATGAATGAAAAAATAAATAATGACAAAAATATTTTACAAGTGACTGAATTTTAAATTTGAATGCAGTTGTTATTAACAGATATATCACACACAAAGGAAACATGGTGTCTTTACTGAATTGGATGTAAAGAAGGCCTGAGAACAGAGTTTGAGAATCACCCTAAGGGTGACCACATTCACACTCTCAGGTCCTGGCCAGGTTCACTACTGAACCGCATGGAGGAACTCCAGCATCTGTGACTTATTCCTCATGATTATCCACCACCTTCTACAAACACTTCTTCCCAGCTTTCTGAATGGCCATCACAGCTGTGCTGTGGTCAGGACATTTTTGTGGTGCTCTACATGAGGGCCACAGGATCATCAGTTAGCTACATTTGCCTTGTGGTTTTGGCACACAAGCTACAAGGCCAAGAGACCATATGCTGGAGTATACATGGCCCTTAACTTGACCTTCCAACTCCAAACAAAACTTATAACTCTATGGGATTGGTCATGAACTCCCTCCCTTGTACCTTTACAGAAGGAGACCCCAGTGTACTTGTCTTGTTGGTACCAAACTCAGACAAAATAAGTGCTCGGTGTCCTAAGGCCGCAGAAGATGCTGCTTCCAGCTGAATCTTGGCCAAAGGCTTCCCTATAAGTACTTGAGATTTGGAAAACCGGATGAGTTTGCTCTAATAAACAGCACGGAAGTTGCTGAAACCCAACCCCTTTGTACATGTAAATGGACCATAATTACAAGAATGGAAGAAGTACTCTGAAAAATAAAACAATTCAAACAAAATCTTGGACTTGGCCAAATGTCTGAATGCATTTGAGAATTGAAGCTCAACAGTCAGTGCAAGGGGAGTGGTCCCAAAGCCAGGTTTGGAAAACATGGGGACAATGCTTACTTACCACTGTGTGTGAGATAGCTTTCTATCACTGTGACAAGACACCTGAGGAAACTAAATTAGACAAGGAAAGATTCATTTTGGCTCATGGTGTCAGAGGTTCCATTCAGTCCATGGTCACTTGGCTCAGTAGGTTCTGGGCTTTTGATGAGAGAGACATCAGGGCAGGGATGGAATATCAGAGAAAAGCTGCTACTTCATGGTGGCCAGGAAACAGGGCCAGAGGCAAGGGAAAAATAACCTTCAAGAGCAAGTCCTCTGTGACCACCCCCTCAAGTTTCCAACACCTCCCAGTAGCACCAACAGTGGGAATAAGCCTTTAACTTGAGCTTTTGGGGACATCCCAGTTCCAAACTATCACACAGTGGCAACACGGTAAAACTTATGCATGGACCCTAATTTATAAGATCCAAGGAAACTTCTATGACCTACAATGACTTGAAAACTTTATTTATTAGTCTATTACCTCACTGGGCCACTCACGTATGTGATGTTAATTCTGCACTATGTATTACAAATCATGTTCTAAATATAAATACATTTATTTTTCTACACTTCTGATATTTAGATGTTTCCACCCACACAATTATCCCTGTGCACAGTTATTGTTAGTATTACAATTGATACTATAATGTAATATATTACATTATATTATTTACTTAAACTTTATTTTGAGTGTCACTATGCAAACACTATTCTTATCAACCATGTAGGAGTTATTGTATTCATAGTGCATGATTAATTTTCCAATGAAAAATATAGATGATGGATGTTTTGGATTAACAAGGTATTCACTAGAGGCTAGAGGGACTGAGAAACAATTTAAGGAATGGGGAATTTGGGATGTGTTCAATGGTACAGAAAAGATTGTGGGATTAGCCAATCCCAAAAAAACAAATGCCAAATGTCTTTTCTGATATAAGGGGTGTGACACAAAAGCGGGTAGGGAGGAAGAGCATGGGAAGAAGACTACCTCTAGATAGGGAAGAGGGGTGGGAGGGAAAGGGAGGGAGAAGGGGAATTGCATGGATGGTGGAAGGAGACCCTCATCATTGTACAAAATACATGTATGAAGATGTGAATTTGGTGTCAACATATCTTATATACAGAGATATGATAAATTGTGGTATAAAGGTGTATTAAGAATTATAATGCAAAAGATAATAATAATAATAATAATAATAATAATAAGAGCTCATGTAAAAAATAAATAAAAATGTAAAAAAAAGATTGTGGGAAAGGATTTCAGGTGGGGAGTAAAGTAGACAAAGAAAGCAACTTCGTATAGTATGATTAGCTGATTTAAAAAATAGGCTACTCTTTCTATAGCAGAGAATTGTAGTGGGAGAAAAGGTTCAAGTTTAATGTCCACAGCCAAATCTTATCTTTTGATAAATGACGTTTGAGTGAGGATTGGAAGGGTGTTTATTCAAGCAGAGTCCACAGGGCTAAAAGCATGCTTTGATTTCATATTCCCTCTATGGGCTTGGTCATGAACCCTCACTTGTACCTTTACAGAGGGAGACCCCAGCATATTTGGGTTCATGGAGTGTACACTGCATGAAAGGCATAGAATAAGCGCTTACAGAGATTGAGAGTCTGTGGAAAGCTGAAACTGGCTTCTGACTTACATCTGGGCACTTACTGAACTGCAGAAAGTCCTAGCCTCCTTAAGTAACATAGTGGAGTATGGAATATGGGCAAAGGTCACCAGAATCTCTGCA